TCTTTGCAGGGAATGGACTAAGTATATATAGTTTAATATGCAAGATCTTGTGTCTAAGGCGAATGGGACTTCTATGCCATGTGGGACAATTCATGTCCATCAATTCAAAAGCAGGCCGTCCACATCGGTGGGATCCCAGTGACTCAAGCTGAACGATGTGGACGCCATGCAACTGCAGTGGCATGATGCTGCCAGAAGTGGACGGCCCGGGGCGCTCCAGATCGGAATGCCTCGAATTAGCTCCCACCCAAAGCAGCGGCCAAACCCTCGAACCCTTCGAACTGATGTCTGCAAATCCAAGTAGTTGAGGCATGTTGCGACCTTGAATGCCGGTGACAAGCCGAAGCAACAGAAAGCATGTTAAGAGAGTTCAGCAGCCGCAGCCGTAAATCCATAAAGGAACATCTGACATGAATTGCACTGTGCAACGACTCGCGGCTTTGACTCGAGGTCAGAGTTCCACTGTGCAACCAATCCCCAGTGTCCTTTCTGAGACCCATAGGTTGGGAACAGATGAAGGCTAAATGGAGGGTGTGTGGAGAAAGGGGGTCAGCAAAAATCGCTTGTACGAAGTTAGTGCATCAAAAATACCTTCCACGAAGCTCTGCGAAGGTTTCTGGGATTTCGTTGCAGTCAGTTCTGCTACTGGCCCACCATTCCACGAACTGTCCACGAATAGCCTTGGGTTCTACGAATGTCCCGCGCCTTCCACGATGTTAGTAGAATAATAGGTTTTTGCAAAACCCTTTCTGTGCACTACCCTTCCGTTTGCCTCTGAACAGAACTTCACCCCAGCAGGCTCGAGGCAGCCATGAGCAGGCCCGAGGCTGCCTTTGTCCCTGACCAAACCAGCCCCCCAAGAACAACAAACTGGACATGCACAGTTGTCACCTCGTTTCACCCACCACAAGTGACGGTCTTGGCTAAAAAAACCACCCGAAGCTGGTGCCCTAAGACCTGGGTGCGTTCTTTTTTGCTTGTAAGGGCATCCTCTGATCTTCGAAGCTGGCCCGTGCTTTCAAACGGTGGGGAGACCCCGGGAGCTGCGACCGATGCGACCGTCGGGTCGTGCGGGTGTGGTTTCTCCGGTCTGCTGGACCAATTGGACCGGTCGTCCGGTCGCAGGGTCGGGAGGCATGGTCCGAATTCCCAGCTCTCCGCCACACCTGCTGTGACCATGTTCCTTTAGCACAAACATCATGGGACAGTTTGCCCCTCAGTTGTTCTTTTCAGGGGTTGAAAGCGTTGGACAAGCGAAACCTGTTTGAAGAAGCGTTGAACATCGTTGAACAGTTGTCAGCTCTTCATCAACAGATAACAAAGGTTCAACATGGTTCAACTATTCAAGATCGCAATTCAACAGAGTTCAAGATCCATTCGTAAGCACAGCAGGCTTCCCTCAATCACACCAGGTCTGATAAGCCCTAGTGCCACGCCCGAATGAATGACACCGTTGGGGTACACTGCAACAAAGGATCCTTTCCTTTGTTTCAAACGAGCAGGTTCCAACAGCCCAGGCCCAGGCCGGGCAAAAATGGATTCTATGGTACCAAACATGTAGTGTTTTTGACCAACTCCAGCCTTTCATGAGGTACACACCCCGTACTACGTAGATGTACTACACGGTTCACACCTATCGAAATTCACATGGCGTGGTGGCTTGATTTGGGATGTCATTGTTCTGTGGTGCTTTCTTTCTTCACGACTCCATTTTGCACATCACGTCTGGAGGTTTGAATCATCCACACTATAGATTCTAAAACCCTCAATCAAAGTCCTCTCCATACCCTAAACCCTAAACCGGACAAGCATCTCATCTGGCGGACACTCGCACATTGGGTAGTGGATGCCATGGTAAGCTTCTTTTCAAGCGAATCAATCTCCCTGCAATGTGTGCAATCACAATACATGTGCCTTTGCTTTTATCTCGTACCAGCAAACATAGTGAAACCCAATAGTAACTACGTACAAATCGTAGCCCAAATGGTAACATATTGACTGCCAGACCGAAGACATTGCATATTTATGTAATGTAGACTCTTGATGACAAAACCATCCCATTTGGATGAAAGAACCTCGGTATTGTTATTCAATAGTCTACAATGATATGTTATCGCAGCTTTCTAGCTATGCCGCGGGCCTGGGCTCGTTTCGTCATCACCCCCCAGCCACTGCCATCGCACCGCCGCGAACACCGCCAGCACCGCCGCCAGACGGTCGCGCAAGGTTCGAAGAAGCAGCACTTTCGGGGCTCTTCGAGTGCTTGCTCGGTGGCGAGGAAGAGTCGATAGGAACTTAGGGACCGGCACTGCAGGATCTGATGCGGTGATTTCCGTAGATGAGCAATCCTGACTTTTTGAATTAACAAAGAAACACAGAAACACAGTGGGTCACATGTGGTATTTTTTTATCTTTCCTGTTGGACAGCGTTATCTCTTCCAAACAGTCACTTCAACACCACCGAGAAGCCTGGCAGCGCTGCCGAATCGAGTCGGTACCGGCTTCGTCTGCGGCAGTGGGTTAGTGGGTTAGGGCAGTGGGTTGGTGAAGGATATGGCAAAGATTTCCCGGTGGATCTTTCTAGGCATCCATGTCCTGTGATAGCCGATTCAGACTCATCCAGAATCAAAATCATGACAGCCAAGACCATTACACCTCCCACACCTGAGATGCGCCTCATTTGAGATAATCAGATTTAGCTCCTTTCAGGAGCCAACTTTGGAAGATGTCCTATGTCTCTGAGCCACGAAGGAGGAACTCAGTCTCAGGGCTCACGAGGGCGAGCATATTCATTGGACAAAAATGGCCACATGATGCCAGTACTGATGTGAGTAGGAATCCTCATATATTCTCACGAAGTGGCAAAGGTTTGGCAACATGGCCACTTGAGAAACACCTTGGATTGGAAGAGGCTGTTCAAGTCAGATATCAAACTATGTAGTTTCATCTCCAATTTTAGCTGAGAAACTCATCTCCTCTTTTCGCGATATTTTATCATCGTGATTCCTCTTTTTAACAGATCCTTTCCTTCATGACTCGGCATATGGCTCTCCATGGCATGGTGATTTCATCCTGAAAGTCCGTCGCTGTGGCATGTCGCAGGTTCCGTTCAACTCAATGGTGCTGACACCACATGGGTATGCATTTTAATCTTGGGACCTCCCAACCAAGGGGTTTTGGCGGCTTTGCTTCTTGTCTCTGCCCGGGATTCAGGCTGAGACAAGTACCTCCCCAGGTTTGCACGTGAGAGGTACAGGACTGCAACAAACCAATTAGTAGACTGGTCCATTGTCCATCTTCCAGGGGGTCTTTGAGAGGTCTCTATTTTCACATGAGGTTTGCTAGCAGCTCTAGCTCACCTGCGAAATGGCGAAATGAACATCAGACCGGAGTTTTACGGGAGAGGACGATTTGGCCAGTTTCTTTCGGTTCATCCCCTCTAGCAAACAGGTTGTGCAGATTGAGTGAAGGCGGAATCACGCGCCCCGATCGCAGCCGTGAACTCGTCCCAAGGGCCAGCAGAAAAGATGTGAAGTTCACCTGGGGTGAGTCATGCACCTCTGCAAGCACTTGGGATTGTGACCATGCAGCGTCCGTTGTGAAGGAAGCTGAAGGGGAGCATGATGACCCAGCTGCAAGCACTTGATGGCAGGTGCGGACCATGTCAGCGAAGATGTGGTCGGGCCCGGGCCCACGGGTGGACCCGGTCCTGAGTTAGCTGATGTGGGGGGAAGGCTTCCAGATCATCTCAGATCGACCCATTAAGGTTATGCCACTGGCTATGCCCTTTGTTCTAGCTATTTGCTACTAGTAGTAATGCCCTTGTTAGCAGTAATGCCTTTGTTACTAGTAGCTTCTTGCTACTAGTATGTTTCGATATGTTTCGTATCACGAGAGGTCACTTTCTGTTGCTCTTTCAGGGCAGAAATCCATGGCGAGAGTCTCCGGGGCGCACCATGCTGAGGTCCCACCATGGGCACCTCATCCTCGCCCAGCCCGGCCACCCACGCTGTCCCGGAAGAACCGCTCGGTTCGTCGCCCCCGGTTTGGGGGGAACCGGCAGCCCGAGCACAGGCAGGCGGCGGGGCACTCCAGCAAAGTTCACTTCATCCATGGAATCCTCTGGAGTCGTGACACCTACATGAGAAGGTTTACACATGTCCACACCTTCAAGTGACAGGTAGACATGCCTCAACAGGTAGACATGGCATGGTGACTATCACGAATTCATCACATCAAATGACCCATATTCCATCATATTCCCATCATATATCTCATCTCTAAAGGTTCAGCGCTGAGCATTCCGCCCCCCGGGCTTCCGAGAAGATCCTTTTCACCCGAACAGAACGAGGTCGATGAGGCCTTTTTCGGAACAACCTGTCAAGTGGATCAAACTAAGTCCCCCAAACTCCCTGTCTGTGCATGTCTGTACTGTCTCCATGTCTGTTGTTTCCTTCTACCTGTGGAAGAAGGCCGCTGCATGAGTTGGAGAAAAAAGACGACTGACTACTACCAGCACCCTCCAACAGGCTGTTAGTTGAGGGTTGTTGGACCCTAACAGGTCTCAATTGGTGACCTGTCGGAGGGTCCTGGTATATATTGATAGTGTCAATTAAGTCTCTGTAGGGCTTCAGGTTTTGTTTGGACTAGAGATGTCAAGAATACCCTACTGTTTACAGGAATCCAGGTCTAACAAGTGTTTTAGGTTTCTTCCACAAACAGTTTCCCAAGAATCCACTCCTTTCCCACCTTTGCCAAGAGGATTCCACGCGCCAAAAAACCACGGTGAATGCGTTTTCGGATTGAACCCGGCTCAGCCAGCGGAGCTGCCTAGCGGCCAGGCCGGCGTCTCGTCTCGGCGGCAAAACGATGGAACCCATGGCGATGGATGAGCCCAATCCTCAACTTAAAGCGTCAGCAACTGTGCTGCGCGAACCGTGCAGCGCACCACGAGATCGTGGTGGGCCGGGACCACGAGAAGGACCAAGAAAAGAACCTGCCTAGAGGCCTTCGCCAAGGCCGGCATCGTCAATGCAGGGGTCGTGCAAAGAGCCTGCGACAGGGTCCAAGCTTCACCCGAGAGAGGCTGATCCTGGAAAGATCAGTGCTGACCACTGGATGCAACAAACTTCCCACCGAAGAAAGGCCGATCTAGTTCTTGCTAAGCAGTTCTAATTGGCAGCAATCATCAAAGCAGTTTAATCCAGTGAAACACTATTCTAGCTTCCTGCATCTTCCTGCAATCTTCCTTGCGCCAAACCTATTCGATCCTATTTGTGTGCTGTTGGTCACGGCATGGTCAAGATTTACTTTCCAACCATCATGGTCCAATCCACTCCAGGTAGAGCTGAGGAACAGGTAGCACTTCATGGCAGAAAAAGCTTGGCACAACGAGCATCCTCGGTTCAATCTTACCAAGACACTGGTCTCCCCTTGCTTCACACCAAACATCAACCCAAAAACCAAGCAACAACCATTCCCCCAAACAGTTGAAACCTCTGTTAACCAAACCAAACCAAACATCTTTAATGTAGTCTCTTGAAGTACATAAACCCCCATTCCATTTGACCTTGGAACAACCTCAATCAACATGGGGGGTGGAGTACAATGTACATCAATACCTCAAGAGTCTACCATGGATAGACACCACACCTGCTTGGAGCTCCACCCCCCAAAAAAACCCAGGTCGCAGACTGTTGTGGTGGCCTGGAGCCAATCCCTGGTTCCAGTACCTGGTACCCGGTTGGACCACGCTCACCCCGTACCTGGTACCCTCATCCCGCTCTCAGCGGCTCCCCACCTTCGCTCTCAGCAGCTCGGTCCGATGCCTCGGACGAGCCAAGATCCTGGCGGAGGGAGGGAGGACGGAGCGGAGGGACGAGGAGGGAGGAGGACGAGGAGGAAAGAGAGTGGAAAAGAAGAGAGCGGCTTTTTGTTGGTGTGTTTTGTGTGATGGTTGGTGTGTGTTTGTTGAACTCAACTCTATTGGTTGTTGTTAGGGGTTTCTTAAAAAAAAACAAGGGAGTTATAGACTATAGGATTTAGCTATGAACTGGGATAGGCGAGACGAGATCGTTTGAGTCACGTGAGCAGATCGCCGCTGAGATCTGGTCAGGGAGATCGATCAGACGCTGGGGACCTGGTCCCCAGCGTAGCGGTCGTGTTCGGTGGTAGGGACCTCAGTCGGGCCTGGTAGCTCCGAAGCGGTTCGGTATGACTGGACCCGACACTGGCCCCCAGGCCCCCAGTCCATTGAAACGAAGGTACGACTGGACGCCGAGCATTAATTAAGATATACCTGAGTGGGACCACCTGTATCGGTGGCCTATTCAGATATAAGTACTTCATTCAGTAGCAAGATGGTGAGTCACACCATGTCAAAGCTAGCCCTCTGTCGCCTCTGCCTTTCTCTATGAAGAGGAGTCCTTTATGTCATCAAGCTAGCGGAACGCTGAACAGAAATGTCCTCCCAGGCCAATGCTAAGGCTGTCTCCATCATCAAGGATCGATGCGCCACAAAGTAATCTTCAAATTCCAAAGCGGGCTTCCAGGCTGCTGACGCTGTTGTGTTCGATCAAACAATATTTGCATACCACATTGTCATGTAGAAAAATGCAATCTGCCGTTGGAGCTTCTGATCTTCCTCCCCTGCTACTCTCCACCCACGTTTGGGCGCAGCGCACGGGTGTTTCCGGTGTTTCATCGCTTCTCACAGGGGGCAAACGGAACTGAAGCCTTCGGTGGGTCGTCTGCTCATCCTGGATCTCATCCAGATGGTCTCCGTGGTCCGTCTACGAGCCAGTCTTTGAGGCTCATCAGCACGAGTGCGGCACGAGGTTCCTTTGGCAAACCAGTCTTTGGACCACAAAAAATCACCACTATTACAAGCCCTAGGGATCCAAGTACCTTCTCAGGTACGGTGATTGGAGACACTCTTATGTAGGCTTCGAGGGTCCACGTGCCTCCTGAGAAGGTACTTGGATCCCTAGGGAAGTGCATCTTACTATATTGGCACACAGGAGTTCTCAGTTGGGAGCACTATGAACTCTTAGGCAGGACTTCTCCGAGAAAGCACCAAGAGCCCAAGAGCATGGTCGTCAGGGGGCTTCTGAATCACCGGCTTCATAGCATGAAAATCCATGAAGCCCGGTACGGGGCCTTCATGTTATTCTCGATCTTCTCCGCCTCCTGCCAGAGACCATGCAAATAGGTGTCAAACAAATTCTTAGTGGATCAATTCAGCTGCTTCAAACATATTCAGTGTCTTCTCTTGAGCCGTTCTTTCTGGGAGAAAACACCTGCATGGAGATTATCTGAACTAAACCTGCAGCAGCTGCAACTGCTCGCAAAGCCTCCGGCCTTGTGGCTTTCCCTCCTCAGAGCAACCCATCGGTGCCAACCGCGGGTTGCGACCAGCGATCCCGGCGATCCCGGCGATCCGGGAGCTGTTTGGAGGACGGGCCGTTCCGGCAGCGGAGATGAGGACGGGAAGGGGTGGATTTCAACAATAGCACTGCAGGAACATCACTCGCATGCCTACCTAGCATGCCCAACTAGGACGCTTTTTCCAGGAGACATGCCATCGAGGAAAATCACCACTGGAGCTGGCTGAAGATCGTCAATTCTCGTCCCAGAAGAGATCAGGAACCGGAAATAGAAGGGACATGAACCCTGGGGCTCCAGCCATAGCCTCAGAAGGTATTTGGACCCTCTAAACCAACCCCAAACACCTTATCACTAGGTACCTGGAGCCCTAGGGGAAGGGACCATCCGGGGTCTCCAGCCAGGTTATACCCGCCCACAGCGAAACCCTTCTTTCTGTCAGTCAGCTGCCAAGCTGTGCTGGGATTTCCTTCCAAGGCAACGACCGGTTTCCGAGCATCTGAGTTACTGCTAGGCCAAGCCAAGCTGGTAGGGTTCTACCCGCCCCATGCGGAAGAACATTAATTGATGCTGCTCAAATCAATGTCTGGCTGCTTCCAAGGCACTTCCGCACCAGATCTAGCTTGCCCTGGCAACGGATCGGGCTCACGGAATCGTAAGAAGTGACATGTCCATGGTGCCTCCGAATCGTCCGAATCGTAGATTCGGATTTTGGTCCAGAAAAAACATCAGGAACCAACGACAAGAACTGCATGTGGCCTTGCCCTGAAAACCAGCAAAGGTCCAACAGATCTGGCCTTCCAACTCTTGGAACTCTCAGCTTTCTGGTTCCGCAGAACCAGAAAGTGCGTGCAGATTCCACAGATTCCGTCGCACAGAATGATATATAGAACAAGTCTTGTTAACAGCTTTTGACAAAAAAACATCAGCCCACCTGTGGCATTCTTGCAAGTTGACCACAGCATGGGATCACCAGAATAACAAAAGCAGTCAATCACAAGAATATCATCGCCTCACAAAGACCTCAGCATCCTAATTGAAAAATTACATATTTTTGTGTATTGACATGTATTGACTGTAAGCGCTAAGCTATTTGAATCTATTTGAGTCGTTTTGGGGGAATATACTCTCAAGAAATACAGTGTATCAGCTCCACCTGCGGCTGGACCTCCATCCTCCCCACCCCACCCGAAGCAACAGCCGGGCCCCCATCCGCGCCTCAGGCGTGACCTCCGGCGTGGAGATCCGTGGCATACTCTGCTGGGAGATGGGCCGCGGCAGCGGCGCGTCCACTTCTGCCGACGACATGGGCGAGCTCCGCGGCTCGCGACCGGGCGCCGAGGAGCTCGGTGGTGCCTCGGCGAGGGGAGGCACCGCGGTAGCGAGGTGGGCCGAGGACGGAGAGAGTCACCCGGCGGTGTCTGTCGTTTCCCGAAACGGCGTCCTGGACACCGAGGAATGAATCAAGATGAGGAATGTCAATTTGCGGAAAGGTCAAGTGTATAGCTTCCATCACACTTAAAGAAGCACGGTTTTGCAACCCCCAAGGGCCATGAGCACGTGCTTTTTCGAGGTGGATTGCCCAAGCCCGCGGCTCCGACCGGTTGATTCATTCCAGGTTGTAATTATCCTTTCTAAGGCTCTTACAAGTAGTTGGATGTGGCAAGTGGATGTGTTGAGGTTGAGGTGAAGATGCGCTGCGTTTGATTGTGATTGCCTCTTGCGAGGTTGTTTTTCTAACATTTCCCAAACAAATTGTTAATATGATCGATCTTGTTTCGGGTCAAAGGGCTGCAATATCTTTGGACAATGGGCTCCAGGCTCAAGTGTCTGCCCAACAAAGAATGGTTTCAGCTTCTCACATACAGGATCGATCTACCACAATGACCCCACATGTATGCCCAAAATGATTTTGTTCACATACGTTTCAAGTTATTTCGGTGTCTTTCCTACCAAAATGTATGCCACACTGAAATATCCTTTAACCTCCTTTCTCAGGCCACTGGTCCACCATCCTGCACCATCCAAGCCCGAGGCGCCCGGTAGACCGGAGCCATGACGGGACCACCCACTGGTCCAGATCCCGGCGGGCCCGGCATGGCAAAGAACGGCTGCACCTTGGGCAAGCTGGCACTGCCCCGCGGCTGCGTGGGTGACTGACTGCCTGGGCGTGGCGTCGTCGCTCCCGCGCTCGGTGTGGGAGGACTCCGAGGACGAAGCGATCGACAAGGCGGGAGGACGGAAGGATGACAAAAGGGCCACCGTTGCGGTGCCCAAAATAAAAATAACACACGGTCCATCTCACAGGGGACGGGGACGGGTGGTTTCATACATTTTTGCTAATATATCTAATACATGCCGAATATATGCAGATGGGTGGTGCCCAAGGCGTCATTGTGATGCCGCCTCTTCATGGCGGACCGGGAGACGCGACCCAGTCCAACAGGGACATGGAAGGATGGTATGACAACTTGAAGTTCATCTGAGTTCATCTCCCCAAAAAAACCAACTGCCATGTGGTATGACATATATATATATGTGCATATTTCAAGCATAGAGCGCGACTTGCGGTCCCTGTCCGTCACGGCCTTTCATAGGCAGTGAAGATATTTCAAGTATATAAGTTATATATCATAAAAGAGATATAGATTGGGTCTATCCTTTTACCAGTAACAATGGATGATGTTTAGTGACGGCTCTTCTCTAAATTAGTGAAACAAAGTGATGCTGTTTACGGACTGTGACAGAAAACAAGGACAAACCCAAGATATAGTTATATCACCCCAACTGATCGGCATATATGGCAGTCCCATGGGTCGGTGTCTGGGTATATGATGATATATTGAAGCAGCCAGTTGGATCATCCCTCTCACTTTCTGAAGTTCATCTCCCAAGTCTCGAGCTTGTCCGAAGATCCCCGGTGCACCGTTGGGCGTCGCAGGCGTGGGTGGCAGGGAGCCCGGTGGTGAGGCGGAGATGCTACCGCCATTGCTGGACCTGAGAGGGTCGAGGCACGGAGGCGATGGGTCAGGAGGGATGATCTGGAGGGTTTTGGGCCATCTTACGGTTGGACTGATCGATCTGCTACTGGACGGTTGGGGCGGGTTGGACGTGACGAAAATGGGATGTGGCTCAACACCGAGGTTTTGCCACAGCGGGTTTGGATGGCACCAATATTTGGTGAGCCATATCCCTAATACCGTAGATGCATTAATCCCGTCTTGGATTCTTTGACACATGTGGCCCCGAGCCGCTTGGCCTTTACTCTTGACTCGCATCCAAAGATGGGTGCGGCTCCCAACATGAGGAACCTGGCAGTCTACACCCGCGCAAACGGACCACCTGGACCTGGAAGAAAAGTCACCCATGGTTCAAACCATCTTTGGAGGTCCATGGCGTCCGAATGGTAGGAGGGTACCAGAGAGGTCCCCAAATGACATGGACCCCTAAAGGACTTAAATACGCCGATAGCCGATAGGTAGTATATTGGGGGGTCCGAATTGGGGGTCGGCTGTAAGTCCGGAATTGGGGGTCGGCTACGGGGATTCTCAGCTTTCATCATCTCACCATTCCAAAAGGGGTGGCGCGTTTCCCTCCTCACCCCTCTGGCACGCCCAGCGGCGGTGGCGCCCCCGGCTGCGGCTGGGGGCCGTTCGGCGGCGTGCCGTTCGGCGATGGAAGCCTCGTTCGTGGCGCGTGGCGTCGACTCAAAAACCGCAGGAGTCACAAAGGGGTGGTGTTTAGATGTCTTTAGTCCCATCCAGTGAGTGGATCATGGGCACCCTTAACCTCCATCAAGCACCCTTTTGGAATGTGTATTGCACTATAGGGAGAAAGCACATGGGTAGACTGGTCTATTTCCTGAACCAAACCCAGGGGGTGGTTGCCCTTGCAGCCCTCCCTTTTTCAATATGCACACAAAAAATCATCAAACATCGAGCCATGCCGGTGCAAACCTTCGACCGTCCTGTCCGCAACGACCTCCCAGTCGGAACCCATGCGCAAGCAGTTCCGAGCCGCTGCAAAGGAGGCCCACTGATCTGTGGTTGCATCGGTCCAGGCGCTGGAAGCTGTGGAGATGGAGGCTGATTCACCGGCACCACCATCTGAGGAGTGATCCTTGGGAAGATGCATCCATCCGGCAGGTGTAGAGATCCCGACATGCGCGTGCACCACGCCAAGTGAGACAATGATGTCCGATTTGGGGATATCATAGAAGGGGTCGATGTAGTACCTTTTCGGTCAACCCCATTTGCTTCTTCACTGATTCTTTGGGATTCCTCCAATCATCCGCCGAAAAGGCAATCTTTATCCATCCATCCCAGGTGATCCTTGCCACAAAACTCTGGTGTCCTTAGCCGCCTTAGCCCAGCCTTGTGAGAAAGCTGGTGGGTCCATGCCTTGTGAAGGATTTCCTGGCGATTCTGTGTGGTCGCCGCTATGTCCGACCTCGAGGATCCTTCAAACATAGCAAAAATAAGAACTTCTGAATGCGCACATGTGCTTCGAGGTGAAAGCCAGCCTCTGTTTCGAACCAATAGTCATTCACTAGTGCTCCACTGTAGTGGATTCGTCTACCTATTCACCTATTCAACCAATCAACTCTGTGACAGCCAAATCTCAAAGATCCTTGCTCGTTCAATCACGGCCTTGCTTGACCGGGGGGATTCAGCTCCCCTCCGTTCCGCTTCCCACCGGGGGCAGTAGTTCTGTAATGGGATGTTCGGGGTTAAACCACGTACCGATCGCCGATCAGGTCTCCGAAGCGTTCGGAAGCCGAAACTCGGTCTGGCAGATCATCCAAATCTGTACCCCTAGGGCTCCAAGTACCTCCTCAGAAGGTATTTGGACCCTCTAAACTCACCCCAAACACCTTCTTAGAAGGTACTTGGATCCCTAGGGTACGGTTCTTTTTTGCGGGGAACATACCATTCACTCCTTTTAGGTCAAATGAGTGACACTCGATCAAACTTGAACCTTTTTCTCCCTTGGTCATGTGGCTTGGCACCATCTCCCTCTCTCCCTCGACCCTCAACAGATCGATCAAATGTTTTGGCTCGATCCGCACGATCTCCGATCTCTCCAATGGCTCTCCCGACGCTGTGCGGTCGTCGGGAACGGTGCGTATACGCTATACACTCCATGTCCGGCCATGTCTGCAACCCTTGTGGTCCTGCAGTGGCTGTACGTTTTGGAGGACAGGACATTCCGTTGAATAAGAGCACTAAGCCTGATTTCAGGCACTGAGCCTGAACATCCGAACATGCAGAGCTTTCTGAATCCTCCCATCCAGTTCCTATTGAGGTTAGAGCTGGAACCTCTTCCTGTGACCGAAAGAACACCACAAGAAGAACTAGAATGGAGGGTCCAAGTTCGAATTCAACCTAGGCTGATGCCAAGAACATCTCACCTAGCACTGCGCTTCTTGCCTTCTCGGCACAAAGCATGCAGCTGCTTTGTAGACATTTGCGCGGTTCCCTCAAGGTCTGGACACCCACGGTCACAGGGAGTTGCCGTTTTCCAGCTTATCAGTTTATTTGTTCTTCTTTCTCTATCTCTTTTCCTGAAGTCAAGCCCCTAAGGTTTTGATGGGTCTGATGCCTGAACCAACGTGAACTTCATTTACAATGAACCTGCCCTCTCCCTCTCTCACACACACACACACACTTTCTAGCCGCCCTAACCGCTGAGAACTTTCCCGGTTGAGTCTTGCCACTGTGGTGCCATGTCCACATCTGACAAAGGAAGCACCCTTTCTTCCTGGCTCTAAGGACGTCTGTGGAAAGATGCAGGATGCAGCTTTCTCGTTCGTTCACGTGTCTGATTTGTTCTGGGTATTCTGTCCAGTTCTAATCAACACATCAAATAACACTTGTCCCTTCTCCTGGGTCTTTGGCATATTGATCATCCATCCATATACATCCCAAGACCTTCTTTTTGGGAACTCTCTCTCTCTCTAGTATAGGCTAAATATTTACATCAGCACCTTTTTGGTATGACCATGTATGACCAATCCTTTCAGCTGGACTCGGCACCCGATCCCATTTTCGGCTCTCCAGGCCTTTTTGAGGCTGCGCTGCGCTGCGCTCACTTAGCTCGCCTTCATGTCGGGCTTCATGTACTTCCTGGTCGCCCAGCTGAACATCAGGGTCACTGCGAATAAGCCCAGCAACACCTGGGCCGCGTCGACCGGTGGGCGCTGGAACGTGAACCCGATGTCTCGGTGAACGTCGTGCACGCCGGTAGAAGGGTAGAAGGACCCAGGACGTGGGTGAAGGAGGTAGTCATGAGTCATCTACAGTCCAAACATGACACAAACGTGACAGAAGTCTCCTCTTAGGTGGAAAGACTTAGAGTGGACCCCAGACAAGGTCTAAGTCATCGGACTTGAACTTTTGGTCGATGGAACACCTCCATACTTGGAACTGTCCATCTATATTGTCAGATATCTGTAGGGTCTATTCCAGTAAACCTGTACAGTAACAGTCGGTAAACTCGATTTTGGAGAAAGGCCTGCAACCTTAACCATCATTCTTCACTGTTACTGGTCATAGGATATATATATATATATATAATATATATATACCTATATAGATATTCAGTCCACAGGGTCCGGCACCGGACTTCCAACTCCAGGTATATGTAATCCCCCAAAAACATGTCTCTCGATCTGCTTCCCAGGTCGCTGGTGCGAAGCTGTCGGGATTCAGCACGGCGCAAATGATGGAGCCGCCTCCACGGCCCAAGGACCTGGCACCGGTCCACCAGTTCGCTCCGGGCAAACCGGGGAAACGGCCGAGGGTCGAGGGAAAGTGGCCCGGGTCGGTGCTGGGGTCGGATGGAGGAAGCGTATTTGGGGAGCGCTTAGCTGTGAGGAGATCCGACTGGGGTGGATTGGATGACCTCAGACTGGCCAACACTCTGGGGAAGCTTCGCACCACCTGCCAAGTTCAGGCCCCGTTCCATCGACGTTCTGCAAAGCAACAAAAATGGTTTCGTCTTCCACACGGGTAGGTGCGAAGATGGTTTCGCCACACCACGAAGACCCACCGTTTCCTTAAACACGTCGAGGCTGATCGGGTCTCAGTCGTGGTCTCACAAAGGGAGGCCGTCCTTTTCATCGGGACCGGAACTGACAGGAAATCAGCTAGTAGTTCGCATGTCGCCCTTTCAGGAGTGAGTCTAAATGTTTTCCCACTAAAATCTCTTCACAGAAGCATTTTGTGATACATAAAATAGATTAGATGTAATTAGGGTCTTAAGGTAGGTGCCTCCAAGATCCTTCTGTGAGACACATCCCACTGGCACTCGACTGCAGATCTGCGATCCGGGGTGCATCGCCACCGTGGCCCAAGTCATGATGGAGTTCACCGCCTCCGCTGGAACCAGCTTGGAACAAATACCTCGGTAACCGGGTCCTGAGGCTCGGTGTTTGAAGTGGAGAAGGCGGTGTGGTGAGTGCGGCCTGAAGGCCGAGACTTTCGGAGGGGTGTGACTACTAAGCAGCTTGGACGTCGGATCAGTGGATCAGATGAGTTGCATCACAATGGACGGGAATCCGAAATCCAGGAAGAAAGCCAGTGACGATGCTTATCGATGCTTCCCTCGAAGCTGTGCTGCTTTTGGACATTTTTGGACCAACCATGCTGTTGTTGGCCCATTTTGGACCGGAAGAGAACCAACAACAACAACGCTTGTGAATGTGAATGCGAAGGTATGTGAAGGTCATACTGTGGACCTGGAACAGCGAATAGTCCCCCCAGGCCGAAGCAACTGCAACCGATGTGGATCTCCAGACCATTTGTGACACCGAAGCTTTCAGGAAATGACCTCAACATACCTCAACGAACTCGTCGCCAACCATTCTGAGATATGTTGAGCGTTTTTCCTCCCGGTTTGCTGATGTCACTCTCGGAACTGGTGCGCACGTGCTTCATCGTCACAACCCCAGGCCCCGGCGAACATCGCAGAGCTTTCTCGGCCAAGGTGCTCAGGGCCAAGGCTCGCGTCAAGCCATTGGTGACCAACACTGAAATCAACCCAAAGGACAATAAGGACACCTTGGTTCGGAAGCCGAAAACCCTTGAAAGATCTTAATATGAACAGTCGACGAAAAACATAGGAAAACATCAAGCCACGGATCCAAACGAGAAAAACCTCGGTTCGGAAGCCCCAAATCACCCGTAAGAAGACCCTTCCGGCCAGACTGCCTGGAGCTCACTGCGTGGATCTTGGGAACCGATCTCACCAACCAAAACGCGGAGTTTTGGGCGTGGTTTTTGGACGTGGTTCCCAAGGTTTCGGAGTCTCCCCTGGAACAATTCGCTTTCGTTCACCGTGAACAACCCCCTGGTTCCGAAGGGTCTTCGCTTCCGAATGCTCCTTCCGCATCCCCCCGCCGACCGGTCCGAGATCGCCCGGAGTGACCATCGTCTCTGGGTTTGCCTCTTGGGCCCCCCATGCCCCACCTTGACCAGATCGAATGCGACACCTTGATGACATAGATGACTCGTGAAAAGGGCTTGGAAATGCGACCCCAGCCATGTTCTTGCTGCCAAGGCGCTTTCCAGGATTGACTGTCCAAATCAAAGTTGAACAAGAAGACACACGAGAGGCAAGCAACAAAGGTGCCCATCAGCAAGCCTGTGATATCATTGAAGGCCATGCACTGAATCACTTTGCCCAAGCTCAGGTTGAAGACGCCCGAGATTAACATCAGAATCGCCACCTTCAGCGGCGTCTTGATCAACTACTCGTCTCCTCCCGATGGACCGAACGTCCGAACGCTACACCTGAGGTCCAAGGGTTCAGACCTGCAGACCAGTCGGTGGGTCGTGTTTCAACCCCAAAACCCCATGAGGTCTCATCCGTTGGCACCAGACCAAGAGACAGGTCTTAAGGGTGTAGGCTGTGCGGTTTTTTTTGTTTAATTCATGTAGTACTCTCTAAGAGTCTAAGAGTATCCGTTGGCAACATGATTTGGCGCCTCAAGATCTGCCAGTCGCTCAAACAAACCAAAAAACGCGAGTGACGCCAAAGGAATCCTGCAGCCGGATGCCACCAACCCCCCTGGTGGGGAAGGATATCAGCGGCCCCGAAGCGTTCCAACAAGCTAGGCAACACGCTAGGCAAGTAAGTACTCGCCGGGGAGGCGATCACAAGACAACAGAGGCGATCACATCCAAAGCCTTCCCTTGTACAGTGACATTTGTTTTCTGATCTCACTTTCTCAGGATCATAGCTGGGTGACTGTATCTGATTGTACGTATCTGTACTTGCAGTGCGCGGTGGGGCAAAAAACTGAACAAGTGAGGTGCTGGGAGCGTCCTTGGATGGCAGTCCAACCAAACTAAACAAACACGTACCTCCAACGCTCCCTCCTTGAACTGCCAAAGCCGCTTCAGGCACATGGACCAAAGCTCTTCCCACGAATCAGCCGTTTCAGACCACCACTACCAAACCCCAACCCCATCCTTCCAAACAGCCTAATTACATCTCTTCTTGCCAAACAAAGCAACCCTTCACGCAAATCCCAAACAGCCCAAACAAGTCCAGCTCGCCCGGATTTGATTTTTGCGTTCCGGAAGAGACCCACATGGAACCTGCAAATCACTGGGTTGGAACATCATATTCCAAAGGTCTGTTTTCAGGTTTCCTGTTAATCTTCCCGGGTGTATCCAAGTCACGAACCAGGCACTGCTCTCAATGGACCACCCCATATGGTGCCGTGCCACATTGATGGTGTAGACCTCGAAACAGCTTGAGGGAAGAAACGAATGGACAGGTTGTTGCAAAAACATCAAGGTGACTCCGTTGATGTGCAAAGTTGATCCACCCACAAAGGATAGGGATCATAAAACTAAACATGAAGAGTATACCCTTCCCATGTCATAGAGGATACTGTCAAAAGGGATCAAATTTATAACCTCAGAACTGAGTTTTGCCTCCGCTTTGTCCTACAAACTAAGTGAAGAAGGAAAAACTCCCGTAATTAAATGCTCACTTCTTCCTCACGCGACTGACTCCTATTGACGACCGTCCCCCGGTATTTTTGGGTCTCAACCCGCTCCAGGACCAGGTTTGGGCTCCGTGGGTGGAACATGCGCCACTGGAAGACGATCTTCTCCCCCTACAAATAGGATCAAAGAGGGCATCGTTTCCGGGCAGAAAACACGTCTTAGTATCTCTTAGTAGGGAGAGGTTCTGTTCTCCAGCGGATCATTTTTCCACTTCCATCATATACTTCGTGATGTGTTCCGTCTTGAGTGCTCCATCCCTCCATCCCTCCCGCAGGCCACCTCGACGCCGGTGATCACGGCGCTGGACACAAAGAGCTGCCAAAACATGGCGCATGCCTTGGACCAACGCGGCGCGGTCGCTCGGCTCACTCGGCGCCGCCGCTTCGCTGCCGGTTGGAGGAGGAGAGGAGCCGTTTGGGGGAAGAGGAAAGGGTGAAGAGAGCAAGCACTGGGATGAGAACATGGAGGGTTTCATGGAGTTCTCGGGGCACCTGACAGTGTATTCGGAAGATATGTTGTTTTTGTTTTGAAGAAGTGATATTAAATGACATCATCACAAGAAAAAAAATATAATAACTCTTTCATGGTGCGCATGTTTGTTCATATGGGTTTGTATTTTTTTAAGGTTCCCGGGCCGGGATGTTTGACTATGGGGTATGCTTCGGAGGTATGCTTCGGGGGTATGCTTCGGGGTATGCTTCGCGCAGTGTGAAGACTAAAGTAGTAGCATTTTCAGAGGGTATGCTTCAGGGTATGCTTCGGGGGTATGCTTCGGGGTATGCTTCGCCTAAGTCGAACATCCCAGCCCTACATAAACTGGACACCTTAAAAAAAGACAAGCCCATATGTTTTGGCTCGACCCTGGTTGCATGGAGCACCAAACAAAGCACGCGCCCTCCAACAAGTATGACACCTTGGCCGAAGCAAGGGGTGGAGCACAACCGAGGACAACACCCGAGTGGAAGGCGCTGATATTGTTTCAAAGTAAACAAGGGCAAGATGGTGAGGTGAATACACTCCTATAGCTGGCAAAGAGTTGACAGAATCATGTGTAAGTTGATCAGGAGTCTCATGATCCTTTCCTTGGACGCTTACGAGTCATCACGATCATGTCTTTGTTTAGGAGCACGTTCATTTAAAGCAACATAAAATTGACTTCAACCAGTCCAAGTCCTTGTGAGCTTGGAAACATGTTGAAGAACAACATTCGGCCTTGGTCAAATCCTGCGAGGCTCGGGGGGGGTCGTTCACATGACTGACTGAGTGAGCTTCAACCAGCTGGTGGTACCAGCAGGTCATGTTCTGCACCTGACTTACTAGGCCGAGACAGGCGAAGAACCAAAAAAGCTTGCTGCCCAAGGTGCTGCTGCCATCGTGGACATCTTCATCCGGTTCTTAGTCTTAGGGCTCTCCAAGGTGCGCCCACCTGCGCTGCGTTGTTCTTCTTTTTTCTTAGGGCCTCCAACATCGGCAAAGTGGGCCACTTCGAAAGTAGAGTCCCTTCCACATCCCCCACTGGCTGATGTATGCGCCCCAACATCTCCAACAATAATCTTCTGACCCAATCAATTTAAGTACACTTTTCTGGAAGGATAGATGAAAATCATGATATGATACTAGATTATCCTTACAAGAGACCGCAAAAGTTTACATGTGTTCTGTGTTTCCCTCATAGGAAAAAAAACAGTATCTCAACTTTGGGGAACATCAATGAGTTTTACCCTGTGCTTGGGGCGATCCCGCATCCAGCTTCACACCACATCGAGCTCCCATCAAGTCACTCTTCACTCTGCCCGAACTGCGCCGCCCTCGAACTGCCTGCCTGACGTCACCTCCCGGGTCAAAACGTTGGGCGGAAGATCCTTTAAGCACAAGATGATCTTCACCTGAGATGCGACGCAACCAGCGCTGCGACGCCCCTCCCGGAGGATGCCCGCAGGATGGACATCGCCCCGGGCCTTGGTTCGTGCACCACGAGCCGAGCCCGTTGGGATGCCCCGGAATGCGAGTTCGAGCTTCCTGGATCTTCATCCATTTCAAAGGCTCTTCTGGAGGGTGATCCACTTAGCGTGGAATGACCTCTTCAGAACTTGAAAAGACCTCCCTGGCGGGCTCTTTCACGTCAACATGTCACACCCCAAAAATGGCAGCAGGGCAGCAGGGCAGGTGTTCTGAGAAAAGACCCGCTTTTTTGATCTTTTTTGACCGTTGGTGGGAGGCAATGTGGTCAATTCTCCAAAGGATCAGTCCGCACTAAGGCCTTGTTGCAGCAGGGGCCCTAACGTTCTGGCCGAACACTGTCCTGCCACCCTGCGAGGTGCCAGGAAACTGTGAAGAAGAGATACGCTGCAGCCATGAACCAGCCTGGAATGGTGTCCTTAGCTTGACGAATCATCTACAGCCAGGGGACTTGAAGGAGCATCTGACTTGCTGCGGACCGACACAAGGAGGCCGCCTCCCTCATGAATTACGAACCACGCGAATTCGAGAAAATCTGGCTGTGAGTCGAACATGAGGGAAGCTTGCCTACTGCTAGTCCAACTTGAGGTGTCTCTTTACTTGAAGACTTAGACTTCAATATAGGTGCAGCACCCAAGAGTAGGTCGATCCACCTGGAACCGGGATCGTGAAGGATCGGGAAGGCCTTTACGAGGCAAAGACAGGTGTTGGTTTCTCTTGAGGATGTTTGTCAACTGTAAAGTATCTCCCTTCACGCTGAAGGTGTATCTTGCGTTCGAAAGTGAAGTTCAACATAGTTCAACACACTTGGAAGAAAGAACGGCTGCTTGCTGCCTCTTTTTCTAAACACGCCGAGCATCAGAGTCCAAAACCAGGTTGTTGATCTTGATAAATTTCCTCAGAATTGCAATCTCAGAGAGTCCTCCTACAAACAGTTGAACTAGCACGCATTCTTTTAATCCCCGCTTTTCCTTCCTTCAGGAGCTTTTCCTTGAAGGAGAAACCGAGAAACCCTGAGCAACTGCATGTGCGACACAACAAAAGACACACGTCCACTCGAAAAAGAAGCAACCGCTACATGCCTCCACTGCATGGTTTGAACATGTTTGAAATATGTTGTTCCATCCAACCAACCAAACCTTTGCTGCACCTCCTCCATCCCCCGGGCCCCGACCCCCCAAAAAAAGAATTACCCTCCAATTCGGTGAGAAGTGTCATCGATGCCTCCAGCATAGCAGCCAAGGCCGGGCCTGCGGCACAGCCCAGCTGCAGCACCGCAGAGAAGTAGAACAAGACCTCACTGCGCCGCTCGACACCTCAGCACGACGACACGCGACACGACCGCGACGCGACGCGTTACGCGACACGTGGAGTTCAGACTCCGCCCTGCCAAACGACGTCGGACTACGTGGATGGCTGAAAACGCCTGCACAAAACAAACAACAGCACAAAAGAGGTTCGCGGCCGTTTCCTCCATTGAGGATCCATGTTCGCGTCAGGGCGGTTGATTTTTGCAAGACTTTTTGGAGATCGCAGGCATCCGCGAGAAGTACCCCCAGATGTATATGGAATTACGATGCATGAGGCCAAATTGGCATGAATTCACGGGACTCACAGATGGGTTCATCGGCAGATGAGTTGCACGTGCATCGTCACTGCATGCTGGAGAATGATAAACATGGAACACGCAGTCATCCAAAACACCAACCCCGAATTCTGCTTATACTGGAAGCAATCAGACACGCCAGGTCTATATAGTCAGAAAAAATGTCAGAAATTAAGTCAGCCTGGGGGCCTGGCCTAGCTCATTTCAATCTGAAAGTTCAGGATCAACACTTGAACAGTACACGCTGCATTAGTTTTGACAGCAAAAGATAACCCCCCAACCGGCTGGAAAAAACATTCTTCATCCTCTCGCCTCTCGCCCCGAAAAGTCTTGGCACATTCTTCTCGTGCTGTCGCTCGTCGCGCGGACGAGCGTCCCACAGTGTGCGAGACGTAAATGCCCGGCAGGCTGAAGGCGCTGAAGAAACCCATCAAGCCTTTGAGGAGGACCCATCGTCGGTGGGGTTGTGGGGTCAAAGCTTGCACCAGGAGGACTGGAGTTTCCTATCGTTTTTATGCCCTGAACGACTGGGAGAACGAAAAATACATCGGCATCACAAATGGAGATGGGGTTTCACCTGCTTCGTCCTGCATCCTTTGCAGTAGGCCTCCAGTCGTGCCTTCTGAGAAGGTGGGACTGAGGTGGGTTTGGAGGGTCCAAATACCTTCTGAGGAGGTATGACTGGAGGTGTAGGGGTACATCAGGACGTCCAGATTTGAGTCCACGGACTGCGACGAACTGCTTCGAACTCGGTGGGACATGGTCTCCTTCGGGTAAGACTGTATATGCCTCACTCTATCTCCAGCCCAGCCCTTGGGGAGGCCAATTGCGCACGCGGGCTGCCGATTCCAGTCATACAAGGAACCTCTCGAGATCAACAGCGTCCATTTGAATCTCATCCTCAGTCAATCTTGCGCTCATTGCGTGCAATGAGTAGTGCAATGTCAGTTTGTGTTTTTCTGCACAGCCACATACTGGTGTCAACAGCAAATCGGTCCTCGCATAGCAGACGTAGCTTGGGGCTGCTGTGTTTTACACGTAGCGTGAGCCTCCGTGAACTGTCCCCAGCTTTTGGAGAGGCAACGACAACGATGATTCCAACGATGACAACGAACGCAACCCCGTTTTCCTAGTGACTTTATGTCATGGTTTGGCCTGTGGTACTGCTTATGGTCTTTTTCATGAACTTAGTTGGGGACACATCAAACAAAAATACCGGTCCTAGCCCCGTCTTGGAGCACAGCTCTACCGGTCGACTGCAGTGCCGGCATCTTCAGGTCGACAGTCAGAGAGTGGGTCTGGGAACCGTGGCAACAATCACGCCAGAACATGGACAAAATCCTTGCCCTATGGATCCACATACCGAACCTGAGGTGATTGGAGATCTAGACTATGTAGGTTTGGAGGGCCCCACATACCTTCTGAGGTTCGGTGGCAGTGGATCCATAGGCTTGCACAATGGGTCTTTCTAAAATACCTTCAGCTTCTGATCATGCGAGGGGACACCAATGGATATACGCCAAAAACCTCTTTGTTCGCCTCGTTGTATGAATCAATTCTCGTTCACACACAGTCATGTTAAGCCAGTTTCCTATTAGACTATACCCAGAAGCACCAAGAAAAACCAGAAAAACACACAAGGACGACTTGATGATCATGGCTGGTCAGTTTCTTGATGATGCATGTCTTTAAAGCTACCTATAGACCTTGGGCAGTCGTTCTTCCTCTTTCTGACACCACCAGGCCGAAACGCTGCGCATCAGCGGTTTCGGTCCGGTCGGGGCGGCCGAGGGTCAAGCCAGCTAAGGCATAGAGCACCGAGCCCAGGACGGTTCCCAAGGAACAAATGACCCAAATGGTCTTAAAGGGTAAACCTCAGTCCATGCAGCTGCCACGCAGGGCCCCGCGCCGCGCCGCGCCCAACGAAAAAAGGAACCGGGTGAGACGACGCGTGGGATGAAAGGATGGAGAAAACGAAGGGACAACATCAGCAAAAACAACAGGACCTAACAGAGGTTGTTTGTGAGCCGAACTAGGACCCGGAAAACCAGGGGTACCGAACTAGGATAGCCTACTAGTTCGAGAGCAACTTGAGGTCGTTTCGGCCTCTTTGGCCGTCTTTGGCTGACTTCGAAGTGAAATTCGACATGTCTATGTTTCTGTGTTTCCAGTTCATATAATGATCATATATAGCTGCATCTCCCATATTCGGAGTATGGCTGAAAAACGTGATTCGTTCGCCTGGCAACAAGCAAAGAGCTTCTGGTTGCAAAGATTGCCAGCGATACTCAGGATGGGTAAACATCCAATCATCAGCCCGGCAAACAGCCGACCAGCACCCAGCCTGCAGCATCGCGTGCTTAGTGGCATCGTCAGAAATGCGGGCGTGGCGTGAACTGCTCCACCTGGTCCTCTGTCAGCCTGATGAACCATAAGCCCAGAATACCTGGACCCTCCTACCTTAGAACATGCGACATGACATGACCCTGTAAAACACAATGTAATCATACCGTACGAGTACCCACAATGGGATGCAAGGTACATGTACGTCTCTGAGACTCGGTCCAATTCACGAAAACTACAGGGCAACGAGACGAAGCGCTCGGAACCCTCGCTGCGAGCCCTGTCACGATCTACCCTGAACCGCTGCGCCGTCTCCGAAGTCGGACGCGGGGGAGGTGCGCGCGATGTCAGCGTCTGCGCCTTTCGGCATATTCATTGGCCGTGGGGATGGTAATCACCAGGTTCACCGTGCACAAAATCAGGAAGTAGTGGATCAACAACAAGGAGCTCACGGGCGGCATCCGTGCCTCCCAGGTCTGATATCGTCCGGCGATGCAAACGTCTTTTTGTGTTTTTGTTGGACTTCATAGTCGCAGTCTGTAGGGCTTGGAGGTGTCACTAAAGTCAATGCTCTGTAACATATGCAAAGAATTAGCAAACTTCCATATCTACAAACACTCCTATAGTCTCACGGTTTAGATATTATGTTTAGATGGATTGATTCATTGAACTAAGAAGGGACCGTATTCTCCTGGCAGCTTCTTCAGACACCCTCCGCGGTCGTCCCTGTCCGTCTCTTCGCCGCTCCTTGTCCTCCAAACATGGCTGTTCTTCCTTCACCTCGCTCTCGAAGGATCCAAAGGATCCACATGAGGAGCAAGTAGAGGTTTCGGTGCTGGTCTGCACCATCGTCGTCATGGCCGGGATACGCGGCTGGCGGAGCGGGATACGCGCGGCAAAGACGTGGTCAAGTACAACAGATTTAGCTCCAGAGCCAAAGCAGTTGATTGGAGTCGGCATCGTTGTCTTGACACGGAACAGAACACTCAGCTAAGAACCACCTCCATTGATATAGTGTCGTCCCCGTCTTGGTTTCTTTGCTCGATGATGTCTCCACTTTGTGGGGAAACCGTGCTTTCGACGTGCAACTCATGCCCAGTGGCCCTCAAGCCCTCGTGCTCCCAATGACTTCAACAGAAGAAATCGTTCCACAAAAAAAAGTCCCCTCTTCATCCTTTCTGATCGGCTTTCCCCATCTATTCCACTGGGATTAGGTCACCTGTGAGCGTCACCCTCGCATCCACTCTCAAACCCTCCCATCACCCATCTCCGCGCGTGTTTCAGTGGAGAGGCTTCACAAAGGGCCGGAACATGACGGGGACCTGCGCGTCGCCCGGTCGAAACGCGAACGCACTGGTCGAAGATCCGACTCCATGGCTGTGGGTCAGGGCACTAGATGGCAGGATACCTTGGTTGGACCAAAGCTCCAGGTTTTCACCCAAGATGACATCTCCCAAAACTGCAGTATAGGCCCTATAGTGGAAAAAACCAGCCCAGGTCGCCCAAGTCGGTCAGTCACCGCAGTGACGGTGCCTGGGCAATGCAGCACCAACCGCAAAGCTTCATGGTCTTGGTGAGGTCGCCAGGCAAGGCGCGGTCGGCCTAGGCCGACGACTTGGAGCGATGGTCCATCCGGAGCGGCGCTTCCGTGTTGAAGAGGTCGGACCGGTCCGATCGATGTTTCAAATGTTTTTCGATCCATTTTCCGTACACCCCAAAGCACTTTAAGCTGTTGGGCCAACATCAGGGGCCAACACCGCAATGAATGGCAATCCTCAGAGATAGTTTTGTAGATGAACCATCACAGCCCCAAGTGGGACCAAATCAAGGTGACATAATATATACACTCCCGAAAACTAACATAGGCCCTGACAATGGTCCCATGAAAGACTATTTTCCTCTACCAACCAGGGGTTTTCAGGTTCCATGTTAGTCTTCCAGGGTGTATAATATATAAACGCTAGAATCCGATGCAAGAATCTGCTTGCACTTTTCACCGTGCTCTTTTCTCCACGCCTTGAGAGGCACTACTTGCTGGATGAGGTCCACGACCTGCGGATCGGCATCAGATCGGAACATCCATGAAACTGGAAGATTGACCTGCATTGACCCTAACTGTAGATCCTCTACCTGGACCCTCCAAGGGGTGTCCATAATGGACTACCCCACACTACCTATAGGCTTCCATTGGGCATTGCCTGGAGGGTCCTGGTACAGTACACATCAATCTAGCTGGAGGCAAATATTCCATACGTACGTAGATTAGTAGGCGGGATTGTGTTGTGTTATGTTGTCCCTTTGTGTTGCCCCTATTCCATCCTTTTCCTTAAGTATCCTATGTTTGTTCTGGATCATGTTTAAATGTCAATCAACACCGGTGAGTGCCGCTTTGATCCTTGAATCACGTCCACGGAACACAAAGTGCCTCTTTGTCACAAGCTTCGTTTTTCTTAAAGATCACCTTGACAAACATCTTGACACACACACAATATATGAATAGCTATGATATGAACAAATCAGGCTTGTCAAGCTATCACACCTGAACAATATATGAATAGCTATGTTCAGGCTTGTCCCGAGTCTGCTTCATGAACAGCTTCGTCTTCCTCTGCCGGACTCTACGTCTCCCGTGGTGCCTTCTTGGAGACCCATTCGTCATCGAAGCGCCGCCGGACTTCATGCGGGCTGACGCCGCGCTTGACCTCGGTGGGTGAAGGCCCTCTCGGTCGACCGGTGAGGAGCAAGCGGAGCAAGCGGAGTATCTGGGCCTCCCTGACATTCAAGTGATATGCCACCAGTTGGCCATTCTCAATCACTTGCCTAGAAAGAAAGGCACGGGCAAAAGCGAGGACGGTGCCCATGCATCGATCGGCAGCAATTCTGGCCCTCTTACTCGCGTGAGCATCCAAGATCAATGAATTTTCAAGATGTTCTTTGGCTGAGGCCGCGACTCCGCGACCCTGGCCTTTTCCCAGGATCCCCTGCTGGAGTTCCAAAACCTCCGCGCGGTTCTCTGCTGGTGACGGAGAAGAAACTCAATCTCAAGCTCTTCGGATGTGTCTTTACTTTGATTCTCTGTCGCCACTGAATTCTACAGTATTCATTAGTATTCTATACTAGCTTAGCAAGGGCTTGCAAGGTGTTTGGCAGGCGGCAAACTGATGAACATGGACCGCCAAACCCACTGGCATTTTGTGAAACAAGGAAGTGGAAGGGAAGGTGTAACACATTTTATATCAAGCACATGGACCTGAAATGACCTGAACCACCCTGCTGCAACTACAACAGAATGCTCATACCACAGCGAGGCCAACGGTTTCGTTCACAACTGAAACGGATGTCGACCACTTGAGACGCACCGAGTTGCTTGAACGCACGTGACACGCGTGCGACACGTCGACGGTGCGAACAGGGCGGTGCCGTCGGGTCTCCGCACGAGACATCTTGGCCCACAGCGAAGCGTGCTTCGGGTCGCAAATCTGGCCTGGGTCCCATCGGGTTTCCGAGGCCCCGGTGAGCTGATAGGAGGCGTGCTCCCATACGCAGTGCGAGAATCCGAGTATGGAAGCGGAGACCAAGTGGAGAGTACCTGGACCCCACTGACCCAGTAACCTTAGAAAATGGGACATGACATGATATAAAAACAGGTACTTGTACCCATTTTCCAAGGTACTTTGAGACTCCAGGTACCTGAAGGATCCTCCTCTTCCAAGGGGGTCATCATCTTGTTTAACTCCCGTGTGATTGGGAGCGTATTCTGGAGTTTCAGCAAGTGGATCTTCTGTGGAGAAGTTTCGACCCTTGTTGAGGCCCTAGAGTTGTAGCTGTTCCTGCCTCAGCTGCCATCGATGATGGACATGACATAGCATCAACTTGTAGAGTGGTGAAACAAACAATTTGGATCCACCAGCAGTCACAAAGGGGTGCTTAATGGAGGGTAGGGGTGCCCATTATCCACTCACTTAGGGACCCCTTTTTGTGACTCCTGGCATTTGGTGCTTTTTTATGTGGTTGTGGGTTGTCATTGTCCCCTGTCGATCTACATCACGGTCCCCCCGTCGGATGCCTTCGGGATTCCGGCCTCCCCCCCGAAGAACTGGATGGTCTGTACAGGCTTTCGACCCAATCCCGATCCCGCTCACTGCATGTGGTGTTCTTCGCCGTTCAACACATGAAAGAGGTGTTCAAAAATCAAAACCAAAACAGCCAAAGCAAAAGAATCTGTATTGTTTCATTCAGGAAACAATGATGAAACCTTGCGTTTCCTCGGGCGGTCTTGACCACCCAGCCATCTCATTTCGGGCAGCCGCGCAGTCCGACACCCATTGTTCCAGCCAGCTTCTCCAAGTACCTGTTTCGTGCATCAACTCCACGTTCCGCCAAACCAGGCAGAATCTACTCCAGCACCAAGACTGGAACAAGCTCTTCCGTGAAGCCGTGCCTCTGCCAAAACGTGATGACTATGGAGGTACCTCAGGAAACACGCAACACCTTCTGATCAAATCCTTCTTGATCCTTCTTGTAATGAACTGAGCTGTGGGCAGATAGGGTCCTTTTCCCAATAGCTTTTAATCTCCTGCAGCGTTCGGAAGCCATGCCGGAACAAACCAAGACGCTGCTCGAAAGCTGCGTCAGTCGCTGCTCGAACGTCCTGTAGGGTCTCGAAGTGTGTGCGGTGTAGAGAGATCCCAGCACCTTGCAGGGCCTCAGACTGTGTGGTGGAAGAGGAACCAATCACAAAAGCCATGACGGGGTGTACCTTTTTCCACGAAGCCGTGCTTTTGGACTGAACTATGGGTCCAACACGTGTCGTTCAGGACTTCTGTATATTAAAGGGAATACGGCCAGGCCGGTGTATATGCATACATGATGTCTATCTACCTCACTTACGGCAGCCCACGACAGACCTATGACCTTCGTCCTTTTCACCGCCCACGCGGTCTCACCGCACTTTGGCAGCGAGTTCCGCCTCAGCGCGCGGAGCTCGTCTCACCGACACTCGGCCTCCCGCCGTGGATCGGAAGGACCAAGGGAGTGACCGGAGTGACCTATACGAATCCTCTCTATCTTGAAACGCAGGCTTTGTATTAGCTTTCACCCCCATCTTTAAGGGCAATTGGAATCTTCGGATCTCCCGACATGAGAGGCTCTTTATATGGCTCCCTTGACAGACCTGGAGTTCCAGCGACTCCAACAGATGGGTCGCTTCACACCGTCTTCGACCGGCCGAGACCGTCCGACGCCGGGTCTGTTCCGAAGCGACCGCAGCGAGACGGAAGAGACGGACGCATGGCCGAGTCAAAGTCTAAGAGTATTGCCTATGCTAAGGCTGCTCCAGGGGTTTATATAAATGCTGAAACCGGTGTTTGGAATGGGCTTCGGTCCAAATGCCTTCTCAGGATCTATCAGGATCGAAGCCCAATTCCATGCTTCGACTCCCTCCGGAACCCTTTGGGCCCCTTGGCTCCACCGTCTCGCCGTCGGCCTCCGTCTCGCCGTCGGTCGCGCCGTCGGAGTTCGTCAGGCCGCAAAGGTGCGGGCCATCTGTCCTTCGCCACGCCGGGCGGTGCGCCCCAGCGCGCCCAAGTCTAAGTCGTGCGATGAGGTTCTGGAGACCTATATAGCTGGAGTGATTTCGAGTCGAGGGGGTGTACCTTTTGAAGAGGGAGAACTCACTTTCTCGCTTCAAGGGGGTTGATTGGATGATTTCTGAGCGAAGCCAGCAGGGTCCAACTAACTGCATGGGAGGTCTCCCTACTTGAATCCACACCCCGATGCAGTTCCACCACAGACCTGCGGCAAGTATTTCCCCATAGAATCCAAGATCCTTGCCAAGGATGGACACCTCACCTGATGGATGCACCCGTCAACCCATCAACAAAGGTCTCAGCAAGCTCTTCTACAGCAAGATCGGACAAGTCCATTTCCCAACCCTCCCCAGTTCACTTCGTTCTCCTTCCCTTGTGGGGAACCCCAACATGTGTCCAACATTGCGGCAATTTTTGAGGGCTCCATCCTTCTCCCAGCTGCTCCATCCCAGCTAAATTAGCTGTCCCGGTTCGAAACAGTTCGAAAAAGAGACTCCTGCATCCTTGGGGTAGGTGCAAAACCTGGAACATGCGGAACGCGCGGAACATGGAATGCGTACATTCAAAACCACCAAAATAGATGACCGTGGCACGGTTTCCACGACATGTTCTACGGGATCTACGAACTTCTATCTATTTGGGGGTCTGTATACTTAAAACGAACACAACATGCCTACCTGTACCATCCTGTCTGGGTGTTCTGGGTGTCCCATGAACAGGATGGTCCAGGGTCCGACCCCTACCGCTCGAAGTGATAAGTGGATGGCATGGCGAAATCATTCGGATGCTTTGTCCGAATACTAAAACAAGTGGTGATCTTCCACGTTGGCCCATGATGAGGCCACAGGGAATGTCTATGATTATCTGCCCTGCAAGAGCCAGCAACGTCTTCACGGGACAAAGGGGCAACAAACAATGCTCGTCTCCACTGCTGCGCCCCAGCAGCACAAACTGACTGGGCCAATTTGTCAATGTGGCCACCATCACTAAGAGTTTCATCTTGATCGAACTTTGCTAATTCTGTATATAGATACTTGCAGTGCATGAACATTTGGGCCTTATTCAAAACTAACATCCCAGCATAAAAAGGATCATGCTAGTTACACAACGACGATGGATACGTATGTAGGACTGTATGTCGGATAATTGAGTTTTGCAATGTATCTGGATTGGGTATTCTGCTCTTGTCGACGAGAGTTCCCTCAGGTTTATGTTCAATAGATCTATCCTCGCAACATGAGTTCGTTGTGGTGCCATGTTTGTTGTGTAGGCCTACCAATTATGCACAACAACATGATGACTAACATGTTCTACACATTTCTACATGCCATCTTTGCCACCAGGCCCTTATGCCCGACATCATTCTGGCTTTCCACTCCTTTCCCAAACTGCTGTGTTTGGTGTTCGAACCCTTCTGGTACGCACGTCTACATCAAGGAATAGCATGCACGTCTCGTCAACACCGTCCCCCCGCAAGCTTTCAAGGAGTGTATAGTACCCAGACACTCCATGGGACCGCCATATATGCCTACATCAGGGTGGTTTTGGGGGGTCAATGGGACGGCACATATGGCAGTCCCAGACAGGTCGTGTCTGGGTATTGTTGTATCACCTCAGGTCGGTTCTATAGGCAGCTGAACTCCCGAACTCCCGAGCTGAACTCCCAAGGAACATGGGAATCCATGCGAGGCCACAAAGCGTCCAGGGGACGACCGAGACACCCAGCAACGCCTCGATGGCAGACACCCTCAAAGGGTTGGGAAGCATTTTTCATGCGGAACGTGCCAGGGTCTTGTGGTGACTGTGGCACGGTGTTCAATACATGTTCGACGTGGGGATCTACGAACTTCTATACATTTCTTGGGGTCTACATTATTAATATTTAACACTCTACCTATATTGGTAGCTATATTGGATCCTAATTGGTTGTTCAGTTGGAGTTGTCCTATCGATCAAGCAACCAAGGCCGTTTTTAGGGACATCTTGTGGGAGCAGTTGGCTGGCTGTGCGCGTGGTGGAGACATGGTGCTGGTGGTGGGTGGGTGCTGGGTGCCTGGTGCTGTGAGGTGCCGGGTGCTGGCAGCTGTATGGCGTGTAAAAAATTGGAGCTGCTGCCAATGCAGGGTGCAGCCCAACAAAATCTTTTGCATGCTTTTGCTATCTGGGGTCTATGCTAGAGTAATTTTTTCAAGATTCTTGGAAGATGTGAACCTCCAAAAGCTGATCAGGCCCACCATGATTTCTGACTGCGAGTCGGATGTGCAAGGTGAGCTGGAGTTGATTGGAATTCAAAGACTGCGATTGAAGCTTTGAGGGTGAGCCAGTGAATGCATCAAGTGACTACTAGCGAACGAGAATGCACTTGTCCGACTGCTCACTCCGGTGAATCTGACGAAGGAGTTCCTTTCTTTTTTCCGGATCTGGTCCCAATTCAAGGGCACAAACACATGGTGAACACCAGCTGCCTTTCATCGCTGCTGCCTTTCACATGTGTGTCATTCTGTGTGGACACCAGCTGCCCCAAAGGGTCTGGAAGAGGGTGAAACATCAAAGTGAGAGACCCCACAAACAAACAAACATGGACCCTGAGAATGGACCGGTGCTTTCGACCATCTTCCAAAGACCAACCCAGTCCCAGGGCATCCAGATACCACTACATAGCTGGTAACCAGTGGCTCCAAAGACTAAAACCATAGACCGGTTCCGAATCCCTGGTTCCTTACTACTATAATAGTGGTTTCACTGGGATCCACAGGGAGTGGTTGAACAGGGGTTCCATGTGATCCGAACTCCGCAGGGGAGGGATGGTTCTTAATACTCGAACGCAGTCGATGCCGCGCCCCTTGGAACACCACCACGAAAGGACACATCGGTCCTACGAAGTCGGAGGGTCCGCATGGATGACACCCTATACGGATCATTGGACCCTCCGAACTGGAGGGTTTGGACCCTGCAGAACGCAAAAGGACCCGAACCAAACCTTCACCTTCGAGGGTCCTTGATCCTTAGGGCACCATCATCTTCTCCCAAGTCTGGGAGAATGACTCCTCCAACGTCCCAATTAGCAACGAACGGATGAATCGAGGAGTACCAAAGTCTCAGCTTGGAGGAACTCCGAAATCCCAATCCCAAAGTCTCAATCCTCCAGCATCCATTATGCGCCCTGGGCACTCTGTGCGGATTCGGCCTACAGCCTACGTGGGCCTTGCAGGATCCCATCCCTTAACACGCTGGGACTGAGTTCGGCCTTCAGGCAGTGCCCTCTTGGAAGTCGGGGTGCCCATCCACTCCGTTTTCGTACCTCCGAAGCGGTTCGGTATGGGACGGCACCTGGACCCCGGTCGTCCCAAACGAAACGCTTCGGTACGACTGCTTTGGCCAAACTGGAGGCCAAGGGGACGAAAAACCCACCACAATTCCTCAGGTTCAGTATTTTCACTCCTCCAAACCCACTCCTTTTTCATGGCTCCTGGAGACTCGCTTGGGGTTTTGCGGCTGCGGCGCGGAGCGCAAGGCGGCGATGTTGGCGCTGCGAGCGCTCGTGCTCGTTGAGCGCGAGGGGTCGCTCAAGGAGTAGCCGAAGGCCTTTCGCCCAGGGGTCGCGCATGGGGAAGTCCATGTGTATAGGAGAAAGTGCCAATGGAAGGCCATCGACTGCATACATCATACAACTACTGCTATTTTAAGTGTACAGAAGTCCATGGGTAATTCCTTGCATGCTTTTGGTCTGTGCTGGTGCCTTCATGAGAATTCCGCCATCGTTGAAGTGGACAACTAGGCTATGAGAGGTCTTGAGACATCCTGAATGCTTGGGTGCTACCAGCTGACAATGGCTGACATAAGCCAATGAAGAGCACCAAACAAAGCGCCATGCAACATGGAGACCAGAGTCTCCTCACTTGCCATTACTGTTCAGATTCAACCTGTCATGCTAAGCTGCTAAACCCCAAAACATCCGCAAAACCATGCGCACAACGAGGAGTCCATGATCTGCCAGACTTCGTCCCCATTCTCAGCCCTCCAATCCAGTTGGCCGCCGGTGTCCCAAACACTCTCCGCTTGGCTCTTTCGTGCGCGCGGGGCCGCTCTCGCTCGGGCCTCCGACAAGGTACCGGCTAAGGGCGCTCCGCAGAAGGAGGAGATAATGCCTTCAAAGGCAATCCTGCAAGGAGATCTGACCGTTTGAAGGATCTGACCAAGACCAAACAGGCACGGACCGTGACCTAAGCTCCAGCACTCGCAGTCGACAGGATGTTTAGAAGCAGTCAAGCCTCAACAACTACCTATCATGTCACAAGAAGCTCGAGGCAAACCATCCTGTCCCGGTCTGTCCCCTCAGAAAAGGCCTCTCGTACAAGGACCCTGGTTTCGAGGAATCCTTGAGAGGTACCCTTCGGCAGGACTCCTGCCAATCCGAGGTGCTTGAACAAACACCCACAATCGTAAGTGTCAAAAACACCCCACAGGCATGCTAAATAGGAAAGGGAAACAACAACACACACACAATTCTGCGTTCTAAAAGCATCAATTCAATTAACCCATTCAAATCCTTCAAAAGGCATCGCTTTTCTCATCACAATCAGTCCATAAGGCCAGAATTTGTGCCCGGTCGTGGCTGTCTCGCACGATGTCGCCGCACATGGGGCGAAGTGCGGCAGACTGCGTCCTGCAGCGCGAGGTCTTCCAACCGCGCTTCGACCAAACCACGCAGGGTAGAGACAGCGGTGAGACGAGGTGGGTAATTGCTTCAGGGTGCGGAAAAAGGAATGAGTGAGAAGGAATTCTCCAACGACGCAGCAGCTCTTGCGTGACAGGCATACGATGGCATGAGGCAAGTCATTGGATTCAAATCTCGCAGTCGCTTCTCCGAGGTAATGATTCTATAGAAATGTCTTCATGCGCTGCACATGAAGCCATTCAGGATCTTTTGATGATGTGAAGATATGTGAAGGTTTATCCACTTTATATATTCCATAGAGAAACCTCATAGACTCCACATCTGAACACACACCAAACCCCTGTTGCCAAGCGCCGAACACGAAGCGCTCTGACCCGCCACCAAAACACGGCTCCAGGTTCCGGTGAGGTGAAAGGTGAACATCAACAAGACCACCAGCCTCCAAGCGCAAAAAACACCGACCGGATGCGCTTGGTAAAGACCTCCAAAGCTTCGTGTGGTTTTTGTTTGATGTCTTTTGTTTGTTTCAAGCCTGTCCATAGGGTGTGTATGGGATCTCCAGGGGATTGGTGATCAGAAGGGAAGATCTATTACAAGCATCCGTTTTTGGGGGCGCCCAACCAAGAATGCCAGTCTAATATTATGGAAGCCTTTGGTGCTGAAGATCATGCAGTTTCTCTGGTCATTCATGGTTCTACCTTGGCTTTATCTCATGAACACTTACCACCAGGAACTGCACGAGAACTGGCAACTTCTACCGTTCTATATCAACTTCCTTTGTTTTTTTGCGGCTCACAAACTGTGACCCGCGATGGTCGAAACGATACTTGGACAATCTTGGACAGGTAGGAAGTTCATCCATTGGTCGTCTTGCGGAGTTGAAGAGGTGAACTCGACATAGCTCGTACTACAGGATCTCTAATTCGCGGATGTCCACGTGTAGATCCAACTCCACCATACCCTCTGCTCGTTGATGTACTGTATAAACATGTCTTAAACCAAGCATAAGCTCATGTGTAAGCATAATGCTGAACAAATAAATCAATCTGTTGATGAACCATGTATTCGTTGCATCCACAAACTCATAAAATTGATTAAACTAGAATTTCAAATAGATCCAGTCCCTGAGATTTTCTCAACCTGTGGCTACCTTGGTTTACGAACGATCAAACAAACTGCCTATTTTCTGGGTAGTCACTGATTCAAGAACTTGTAGCGAAAGCTGTTTCTTCTTTGGAAACCAAAGTGGTGGCAAGTCTCATGACGTTTCGCAACGGCAAGGTCTCATGACGTTCCAGGGTCAGGTCCCACGATCTGCCGAGGTGCCAAAAAGAGCCATTGGCATCGGAGAAGACCATGACCTTATCAGAGAAGCTAGTGAATATATTGCATAAAACCCTCAGCAATAGTACACTCAACCGGAATTGACTTCACGGTTTTATAAATTGATGGCTGAAAACGCACCTGTATCATGATCAAGCAAGTATACCTGAAGAATGTTCAATCTGCTGTGAAGCCAACTTCCCCACAGAATTCCGTGTCTTGTTCTTTAAACGGCCCCCACATATTCTTGTCGTCATACGCATGTCGCCCCAGACTTCCGATGTCGTAAGCGTCCCAAGTCATGGGAAACGATCAACGGTTTCGTAACATGTATGTGTTAGTTTCATTGCTATATGAACAAGGCAAAGAACAAGGCCATAAAACATTTACCCACAAATTAAGCAAAACCAGCCAACACCTCGGTTTAGGAGGTGCTTCTTTCTGAGCCCGATGATGCTACTTACGCATAGCTTGGGTCTATCCCGTTACCAGGGCCCCAGTGGATGATGATGGTTCGTTTCCAGGCCCTTCACCAAAACCGTGGATTTGCTTGTGAAACCCGACTGTTTACAGGTCAGTTCGGACAGACCGGGAAGCAACACACGCACACATGGCACCACGACCGCCACGACCACATGGTGCCGAGATGCCAAGGTGAAGAAAAGGATGCCCATGATCACTGAAAGCAGCGCGACCAGGCACCTGGCAAAGCCCATGAGGTGTTCTAGGTTTTGCAGTTCTTGTTGTAACACATGATACGTTTGGTTTTCTATTCTGCACATATGCTTAAGATGTTCTTAAGTGAACAGTGATGATCGAATGCACAATAATTCTGATGGACATCTTGTTGCTGAGAGATCTGAAGAATCCGCCATTGCCCCCCCCACACAATTCTGATGTGTTGTTTTTTGAATATATATTATATATATATATATTATATAGTGGGTTGAGAGTAGATGGCGCAATCCCCGAAAGGTGTTTTATATGGACCCCTATATATCCTATACAACAAATGATCTGCCAACTCACGAAGTTCAGCGATCGAACACGCACAGCACGAGTGCGGACTTTCTCACTCTATGGCGCAGCGCAAGGTGGCCCAAGGTTCAACGCGCGCACCCGCCCTTCGTGAGAGCAAATGCACACAAGTGAAAAAACATGTTCCTCTCGAACTCTCGAACGAAATGGGTTTTCGTGCCGAAAACTGACATCGGTGAGGCACTCCATCGGCCTTTCTTCATCCAGGGTTGCAGCGGTTGCAAGGCCTCTTGCAAATGCTCTGGGATCCGCCACATGTCCTGGTTCGATGCCAGCATTCACCAGATGGGGTGACATAGATCGGTCCTGGAGCGGTCATCACAACTGGTCCGGAAGATGTTCCGGATCGTGCACGTCTCACGGCCTCATTGGCCACCATCAACTCACCCTGGAGACGAAGGTTTTCTTCTTGCAACCTTCTAACCTTCTGCTCTTCTTTCTCCAGGTCTTGGATGATGCTTTCACGTTCACGCTCCGACTGGTCCTCAAGCTCCTCTAATTCACGCTTGAGTCTCACAATCTCTTCATCAGTCTTCAACTGACGTTCACCCATCTTGGTGCAACACGCAAACACAAATCGACCAATGAAACATAGCAATGTAATCACACCAACAATGCCTGTCACAATGAAAGCTTCAAAGCCGCCGAAACTCCAGTCTTCATGAGTGGATGCCGCTGCTTTGGTCACCTCATCGGCCATGATCAACGCAATCAAACTCTGCGCTATGTCAGACCTTGTGGTGCGAGTCTCGTTCACGGTCCTCGCTCTCTCTTCTTTCGACTTCTTCTTTGCTGCAACGAAACCTTCATCTGCGACCAGCTGGATGTGGCTGCCACGGTATCGTTCAACAAAGTTCTGTCGAGCTCCAACCTTTGTCAAGCCATCCGACAACTGGCGTTCACTTGAAACCCAACGCCATTGACAATGCAAATCTGCCAGCAAGCTCTTGATCACCAAGCCCTCTATTGCAACACGTTTGTCTGCTGCTTGCTGAATCGTTTCACGATGCACAGCGTCAAAGAGTGCTTTGCAATCTGTCACCATTGCTGACTCACCTGACAGGTTGTCCTTGATGTACTTGAGCTCGACACCTGGCCTACGAAGACATTCCACAAAAGTCTTCACCATCAAGAGCTCCTCCAATGCCGTGGCACATGACTGACATTCAGCTGCTAAGGAACTTCTGCAAACTCTGGGGACTTTGAACGACCTCCAAGAAACAATCGAGGCGGGACGCTTCTCACCCTGCAAGACACCCTTTTCACATGCCAGAATCAAGAATCCTCCCTGCGAGGTATGATCTGAACGCACACTGAAAGCAGCATCGGCATAGCAAACAAGGCACAAGTCATTAAGACTCTTTGCCTCTCCACGCTTCTTGTCACCAGCTGGACGGCCAAGGAACTTCAATGTGACTGCTGCATTGGATTTTGCAAACCTCAATGTCTTGTTCAACTCTCGAAGATGCAGCACTTTTCCTTTTGGAACTTCACCAGCTTGAATGCTCATCGAAGCACATAGGATCGGCATGCCCTGAGTTGCAGGCCACTGCAAAGCTCCGATTAGGCCACGAGCAGCACTGACTTCCTGCGGTGTTACGCCATCTTCGTCCTTGCGACCTTTGTGGATGGTCATAGGACAGAGCTTCTTGATGTACTCCTCGTAGCTGACCTCAATGCCATGCTGATTCTTCAGGATTGTTCCTCTGCAGTATTTCAATGATTGATCTTCTGACAACTCATCCCATTTGCCAAAATTGAAATCCTTGCGAAGAAGTTCAACTGCCTGTGAAAATTCAGCATTCTGCATGCTTCCGGCCAGTAACATGTCATCAACATGTAAGATCAACATGCCTGTCAAGCTCTGGTCCTTGCTCGATGGCAGAACGAAGCAACACTGATCCAAATGGTGGCTCAACCAACCACGCTTTGTCAACCTGGATGCAGCTTCTTGAAACCACAAGAGCGGCGCGTCGCACAAGCCATATGCGCTCTTCTTCATCTTCATGTACAAATGTTTCTTGTACACTTTCTGTTGTCCTCCATCGACCAATGGCAAGCAATCCATTGGCAACCTGACAATGAGCACTCTGTCGAAACCTTTGCCGGACAGAAAAGCAGCTTGAACATCAGCGCAAAACACTGACCATTCCATCCAAACAGCAATTGTCAGCAACATAGTTCGACTGGATCGGCCTGCTGTCGGAGATGCAGTCTTCATGTTCAGGATGTCAGGATCCTGGAACCCACGCAGCACCAACCTGGCTTTGGCCTTCCAAAGAGTGACGCCATCTTCTGCATCTAACTTCTTCCATGTCAGAACCCAGCGGGCAGAAATCACACGCTTGGTCTTGATGGCGCTCTCAATCTCAGGGGTTGTAGCAAACTGCCAAACCGAATTGCTAAAATATTGATCAAGCTCTTTTCGTTTTCCATCAACAAATTTTGCTCGATCTTGAGGATCCAGCTTCCTTTCATTGACCTCTCCTTTGCGAATTGCTGCCATCATGACATCATCTAACTCGCCTTGCCCGGTGGTTCTTCTGGCGCAATGCCTTCTGACTTTCTCTTTGGACTCGATGGAGCTGGAGCGTGAGTTGGGTCCTCCTCCACATCCGTAGGTGCTGCAGTCGTCACTGACTCACGACGGCGAGGTGCTCGTTCACGCTCATCTGGCTGCAACCTGGGAAGAAAGACACCTATCACTCCAGGAACGGGGTCATTGGGCTCTTCATCATGTCGTGCATTGCCACTTGACTCCTCATCGGTTTGTGGATCACGAACTTCACCATCATCGGGTGGATCTGTCGGCTCATATTCAGCATCAAGCTCAACATCGTCTCCGTCAAGCTCTTTTGCTTCATCTGTATGACCACTACGACGAAGTTCATCCTTGAACTGTGTGGTGCTACGGGCTTTCAACTCCTGCAAGTCACGAAGAGCTGCTTGGCGGTCACTGCTGACCGGCATGCCAGTGTCCTCCGCCATCGGCCTGACCTGTCTTGCACCACAGCGCAACAGTGATGTTCCGTGACAAAGCCAATAAACATTGACACTAGGCTGCTCTTCTATTGCAACAATCCTTGCAGGACCACGCCATCCAGACTTTTGCAGCCTTCTCTGATGCTTGCGCCAATACCAAACCTTCTGGCCAATCACAAGTTCTTCTTGCATTTCAGCAAACTTCTGAGTGAAGGCACGGCGCAACTTGGCATCTGAATCTGCTGCAATGAAAGCCTTAGCAGCTTCTGTCCGTCTGGCCTGGATCTGTGCAAAGTTGCCCTGTTCATCGATTGCCTCCTGTGCAGGATTGAAAAACTCTCCACTGAGGCCATGAACATAGGTCATTGACTTGCCAAGAACCCACTGCTGAGGAGTGAACCCACGATGGAAGCTAAGCTGGTTGATTGAATGAGGAACATACAGTGCGGCCTTCTTCAACGATTTGAGGTCATGACTGTCGCACTGATCCATGAAAAGTTCCAACGCTCGTCGGACAACTTGATGCTTCCTCTCAACAACACCAAGCCAGCTGTGATTTTCAGCGGGTTGCACTTCCAATGTCACACCACGTTGAGTGGCCCATTCTCGAACATGCTGACTCGACCAGGCTTTTGCTTCATCAATGCGCAGAATCTTTGGAACTCCAAAATGCTTCACCGCTTCACCCAAGCACGCTCGAGGCCCTTAGTGAACTCATCAGCACGCTCAGACTGGAGAATCCGAACTGCGCAATACCTAGTGGCATGGTCAATGTCAATGATTGTCAACACGCATTGTCGGCCTGTCGGCCTTTTCTCTTTCTTGTCCTTCTCTCTGCGACGGTCTGCTGGAGTGCCTGGTGCTGGAACTCGTTCTCTCACCATGCTCTCTTCACATGCAATCCAATGGCTGTCAACAAGGATCCGCTCATTGAACTCTGTGCATTTCAGCCCACTTGCAGGTGGATTGGCTTTGGGAGGTTTGCGAGCATAGCACAAAGGACATGTATAGAACTTTGCAGCCTGAAGGACATTGTCTGTTGCCTGAATCTCTTTCAACATGCGGTGAAGGACTTCCCAACCTGGATGGCCAAGATTCTTGTGCAAGCGCTGCACATACTCAACAGCACGTGGTCCAACTTGGGATCTCAAAATCCTGTTTCTCCGCACTGGATCCAAGCTCTCAAACTCTTCAGACTCAAGTGCAACTGCTCCTCTGGTTTCCTCCGCTGGTGCTGTCTCTCCTCCTCCAACGACCTGTTGCACTCCTGAACGACAACCAGCCATGTAGTCCGCGATCTCTTGCTGAGCTGATGGAATGTCCTCAACGGCAAAGACATCATCTGACTCAAGCTCAGCAATGATGGCATTCACAAGATGACTAGCTAGAGCCTGTGGATAGCTCTCTGCAAGCCAAGATCGCAAACCAACACCAGGAATACTGCCTTCCAGATGAGTGTGTGCATGGGTTCCATCACACTTTCTGCTGATTCTCTCGGACAGGGATGCACGGGTGGTTCGAAATGCCGTCGGCTTCTGAACTGGCAGCATCTGATTGCTGTCATTGGGCAGCTTCAAACCAAACATGCACTGGTCCACGTGAGCATCATGTCCATCCATGGCTTGAAAAGCAGGTGTCTGCCAAGCACGTGATCGTTTGGGATGCTCACACAAAGCAAGCTTGCCTTTTCTCCTCTGATGTTCAAAGACAACCGAGCAGAACATGAGGATGTTGTCATGATCCCACTGTCGTGCAATGTCCAGTGTGTCAGCATAACCTTCATGAGCTGCACATGTGAGCTCCTGAAGTGAACTCCACAACTTGCACATAGGTGAAATCAACACGCAGTCTGGCTCTTCAGACCTCAAACGACGAAGAAATGCCATTCGATGTGAGGCCTGTGCGAAATCCCAGCCATCAACCAAGGAGAATCGCTCACTCTGCATGTTTGATCGTCTTGCAGCTGTCTTGCTCACTCGTCCCTCTCCAGCAAACACTTCCCACAAGGTGTACTTGCGGCCATAGTTCCGCAAAGGAGAAGCCTGGAGCACATCTTCGAACTCCTTGATCCTTCGCTCAGTGTCATGGATGAGCTGTCGAAGCTTTCCGGATGGCAGCTTCTGGAAGGATTCACGGTCTTCCGGAGTGGATGGAGAGCGAACAGCTTCATGTTCAACTTCTTTTGGTCCTGGATCGCAACTCAACTCTCTCGTCACCACAACGTCACTGTCTGACTCAAGGTCCAACGTGACCTCTGCACTCTGAAGGGATGGCATCAGCTGTGCCCCTGCATCGACAGGAGATGGTCCACTCTTTTCACAAGCTGAATTGCTCTGCTGGGCTTCCAAAATGGAGGCAACTGATGTGAAACTTGAATTCTCCTGCTCATCAATGACGCTGTTCACCAAATCTTCACTGACGTTCAACATCGGCTGTACCTGGCCATCAAAGAAAATCTCTGTGGACAGTGGTTCTGGGTGAACATGCTGCTCAAAGTCATCTGGTAGCAGGATGCGTGTCGGCTTCTTGTCCAGCATCTTCGACACATTCGAGGCCATGTGGCAAATGAATTCACCTCGAGTGCCACGAGCACACTTCTTCCATGCCTTGCGGCCCCACTTGATCTTGCCCGTCGAGTAGGAGATGGTGATGTCAAGCGCTTCCATGATTGGACGGCCAAACAAGAAGGGAGCATCACCTGGAATGACATACATCAAAATGTCACGACGGAGACCTTCCATGAAGGTGGGCACAAGCAAGCAAACAGAAGTGATATTCTTCTCTCCATTGCCGAACCTGAAGCCTTTCTTGCATCGGAAAACTTGGATCTGGCTCAAATCAAAGCCGGCTGATGCCAACATCTCGAGGTACCTGCATAGACGGCCCTCTGAGGTCAAGACTGACCCTGCTCCACAGTCCATCATGGCGATGTCGTCGGACACGATGCCATGCTCTTCAACAGCCAACTGAATTGACTCTGGCTCACCGGACTCACATGAAGCAACCATGTTGATATCGGCATCAACTTCAGCCTTCCTTTTGCCAGCTGCGGGGCACGCTTTTGCTCGATGTCCAGCCTGACCACAACGCAAGCAACGTTCTGCACCAAGAGCTGCACGGCCACGGGCTTTAGGCTGAGGTGGAGGACGTGGATTCTGTTTACCTCCTTTTCCAGCATGACTCTTGCCCTTGCCTTTGCCCTTGCTCTTGCCTTCTGGCGATGAGAAATTGCCTTTTCCACCGGATGAAGCTTGCTCAGGAACCATGGCAACGACCGGGTAGTAACCTCTGCTCATCCTCATCTGATTCAGTCGTTGACGAGCTTCTGTATATCCAGCTAGGACTTCATCGTACTCTGCAGCGCAATCTTCACTCACTGCATGAATCTCGTCATCACCTTCTTCATCTTCGGCTTCATCTCCACCATCATCGGCCCAGAAAACTTCGGGGTCGTCGTCAGCTTCTTCACCATAGTCATAGTCGAAGCAATCATCATCTTCTCCGTAGTAAACAGCTTCTTTGTATGGTGCACGCCAACGAGTGGAAGCCTTGGTGGAGTATGTCGAATGGCCTTCTGGGGTGCTGTCCTGCCCAATGACAAAGTTCATAGCCTTACGAACAGTATCATTGGGCTCATGATCAACTGTCTCTGCTGTTGGGTCAGTCCAGCCCTCCTCATGAAATAGCAGCCAACTACCTTATCCGGCAACGTCACGCCGTGAGCCTCCAACTTCCTCAATGCTCGTTCAAAGTCACCAGCATATTCTTGCAGCGTTGAGTTCTTCTTCCTATGCAACGTGCAGAAAAATGCTTCGAAATCTCCAGGAAGCTCCGTGATCGCATCGAACTTGAAGACTTTGTCCAACCTCTCAAGGATCTTCTGCATTGCGGTGGATCCTTCAAGTTCGGTCATTGGGATGTCCTCACATGCATCCCAAGCGCGACCTTTCAGCGTCACCAGAACATTGAAACTGGTCTCTGAGGACCTGCCAGCCAAACTCATCTTCTTCTCATACAGGAGCAATCTCTTCCTGTATTCCTTGTAGTCGCTCGACCTGCCAGAAAACTCAGGAACGTTCTCGTGAGCTTTGCCAACGTACGAGGTCGAGGAACCACTTGCCTGCGCTGTCGTACCAGCTCCCGACATCAACGTACAATGCACAATGTACGACCAATGTCAAATGTCACAACCAATGTCGACCAACCAATGCTTTGCAAGCGAAAGGAACGACCAATGAATGCAACACTCAACAACCAATGTACAGGGTGCAAGTGCCAACTTCAATGCACAATGTACAACAAAAGAGGCTCCGCGCCACCAACAACAAATGATCTGCCAACTCACGAAGTTCAGCGATCGAACACGCACAGCACGAGTGCGGACTTTCTCACTCTATGGCGCAGCGCAAGGTGGCTCAAGGTTCAACACGCGCACCCGCCCTTCTTGAGAGCAAATGCACACAAGTGAAAAAACATGTTCCTCTCGAACTCTCGAACGAAATGGGTTTTCGTGCCGAAAACTGACACTATATAAAAGACATCTTGGGGTGCCAGTGCCATCTACTCTCAATCCACTGTAAGTGCTTCAAGTTTCGATCTTTCAGGGGACAGCTTTCAGCAGATCCAACACGTCGGACAAAAATCCTTGGGGGGCGACACATCTGTGACAGTATGCCTTCCATGTGATTCCCTTCTGCGTGGGGCGCCCAGAGCGCTGCTGCTACTGGCTCCATGACTCTATCGACCCAGCAAGTCTCATTCACAGGAACTGGTCACTCCGCAGCCCACCTTCCACAGAAAGGCCACAGGCGATGACAGCGATCGCCCAGGATGCCACCCAGCACCCCCGCCACGATACTACCAAATCCTTTGAGGATGCGAGGGATTTTCGGGATGAGAAGTTCTCACGAAACCGGGGGTTTGCTCCCCATCGGAGCGTTTTTTCTGCAGGCGAGATCGCGAAACGAAGACGAACATCGATGTGGATGTGGGTCAACCACCACATAATAGCCCCATGAAGCGAGGGATGCTGAAGTATCTGTTGTTTTATGTTGTTTTCGATTGTTTAACGAATAGCTGATCTATATTTTATGAGGGGAATCGAAACGGTTCGCACATCCAAATCTAGAATCGATGGCCGTTGGCCTACACATCCACTTATAGTCACATTTGTGGGGAGATTGAATATTCCCACAGCATCGTTGCTTACTTTGAGGTCATACATGGGGTAGATGTTGGGGGTATATTCCATTGCCAGTGGCAATGGATGATGCTTGGTAAAGGCCAAATACTTGTTTATCGACTCATTCTGATGTTGCATACGAGAGCACTCTCCCGCGATTGACACCGTTGGGATCGCGATTGATTCGCGGTTGATCGGCGATTGTAGCTGCCTCAGATACCTTTATTTTGATCAACACCCACATGGATTCACATGGTTAACTATAAGGATGGCTTGATTTTGCTTGGGTCATGAACTACCCTAGTAGGTAAATACATGTAGTACATTGTAGTACCATGGATGGTCTCAGATTGGAACTTCTACGACCTTCTCGGTCATCCGGTCAGAACGCGTTTGGAGTCGGTACACTCGGTACACCGAACAGATCCGTACGCATTTGTCCACTCCGATGTGTGTGGGAACTTCTCGACCTACACCGAAGTGACGCGATCGGACGCTGAAGTGCTGTGATCGACGCGATCGTCGTGTCTCCTCCATAGAGCAGAATTTCGGCTGCGTCGACATCTCGATAGCCACAGAGCTGAAAGTAGAATGGCAGAAAGGCAAAGGCATGCCACGGAATGCCACCCGTCACACCTCATTGCAAAGGTCTTGAGGGAGATGGTAAAGATCCATGCAACACGTTTCTTTGGGCTGTCGCGAAGAAAACACAACAAAAATCCAATAACATCGCAGCATCCATTTCACGTCCTCACGTCGGTCCCTCGCATGAAATCTCTTCCAGTCTCCGCCCTCCGGCTCGATCGCCTTCCACCGCCACCGCGGTCGCGGGCACCTTGCGCCACCATGAAGAAGAAGGTGGGCTTTTGACACACCGTCCGCAGCACCCGAGCCTCCGGCATTGATGCGACGTCATGGACAGGAAAACAGCTGTGGCGGGTTCGACGTGTTCGATCCACCCTCTGAAGGAACGGTGTGGGGTTTTGTTGAGCCTTTGGAGCCTTGGGAAGCGAATTCTATACCTGGACCATCCAAGCATCAAGGGATGCCCTGTCTGGAAGCCTAGCATGGTACAGTGTGGGGTAGTCCAGCCAGGACACCCCGACAGGATGGTCCTGGTATAGTTTGTTTCCATATAAGGAAACGATGCACTCTTCAAAATCAATCATGCATCCAATTCATCCGGTGGAGGGAAAAGGAACACAGAAACTAGAGTCTTCTGGCCAAAGGATATGCATATGTTTTACAAATCTAATTGGGAGTTGAGGTCCTTACAACCTCCAAAGCCCCTCTGAAACGGGTACTGAAGACCTACTGAAGACCTACGGCAACAACCTACGGCAACAAGATCATCCAACATGAGTGAAACAAGCTTCAACTGCTACATAAGAAGCGGATCAGCTCACTCACCCCCCCAAAAAACACCCCCGTCGTTCGGCGCCCCGAAGAGCGAACGACGCGTCGAACGACGGGCTTTTCACGGCCGAACGGTCCGTCGTTCGGCGCGAGACATAGAAGGACCCACATGGGGCGAGACATCCAAAGATGGATGGAGAGTGGTGACCAATGGAGACAGGACAGGACATCTATACCAGGACCAGGACCTTGAGGAGTTGGATGGTTCAGACAAACACCCCTTTTATCACAGCGTTCAGGGGCTATAAATAGACACCCCGACATCAGGGTCCTGGTACAGATCCATCTATATATATGAGACAGAAGGATGTGAATGGAGAGTAGATGGCACAAGTTACCCCCAGTTTGGTGGTTGATACGGAGCCCCATCTGTCGACAAACATCTTGGTGTGCCAGTGCCCTCTACTCTGAAACCACTGTATTTGGGTGTGCAATGGCGACCACGTGTCGCAGCTGTGCGACATGCCGGCGACGTAGGGAGTGCACACGTCCCACGTCTGGGCATGCAATGAACAATAGGGAGTGAGAGGGTGTTAGTCCCTGCACACGGAGTTTTCGTCCAGGTATGGTGTCTCCTGCGGTCGGTGTTTTGCGCAGCAACGGTCTCCACACGGTCTCCACACGGGGAGACCCCACGAAACCCATGGGTTTTGTGGGGGGAAAGTGGGGATCGATCCGCTTAGATTGCTTCTTCAGATTACTATTATAGTGGTTTCAGTCAGAGGTGAGAAGTGGCACTGGCACCGCAAAGATATCTTTGGCATATGGTGGGCCATATATTCAACACCTAACTTGGGTCTTGTGCCATCTACTCTAATAACATTGTATTCAATAATTCATCGATTGACATTGAAAAATATTGAGAAGACATTGACAAGGACAGCTCACATCAGCTCGCTGTTGCTTGGATAACAGAATGATCATGAATGGTCACGTGCAGTGCATCAACCCAGTAATCATAGCTCAAAGTTCATCTCATTAAAAAAAATAACAAATTACTTATAGCTTATATATACAACCACTCAACTATAGTCATACCTCAACCTCGCTTTTCGAAACAACTCCTCAAACAAATCAAGCAAATGGTGCTCATCCAAGGCAGACTTCTGCACATAACTTGCAGTTCCATGCAGTTCCCATCAGCCGCCTGTTCTTCCATCCAACTCCGCCCCTTGTTCGGCACCGCCGCCGACAAGTGACCTGGCACCTGCCGCAGCGGATTTGAAGGACTTGTGACAAAAGAGGACCAATGAGGTCACCAACAAAAAGGCGAGAAGAGACGATGCAAACTCAGTGGTGTCACCAAGCAGCCTGGTGTCACTCTGGTCAAGGGCCCAAGGGTCGTTGCCATAGCAGGGTGTCACGCTTGTTCCGAACTGCTTCTCCAGTGATGTCAGGTCCAGTTCCGACCGACGAGGCAGCCCACCGATTTGGACCGATGAGACGACCGTGCGAGGCTAGAGATCCGGTGGTGAACTGACCCAGGTCTTCAGTTCATGAAAAACAAGCAAAAGGTCCAAGGTCGTTCATCATGAAGTTCGGGAACTGAACTGGCAAAAGGTCGTTCATCTCTTGGCCACGATTCCAACATGCCACCTTCGTGCTTCTGTCTCACTACTCACACCAAGAGAAGCGTTTTCAAGCCCTGTGAGAAGCTTTTTGGGCTCCAATTCGAAGGTACTTTGGGAGATGTACCCCTGAAAGAAAAGGGCCGCCGTTTTTGGGCGGGCCGTGTGAGAAAGCCACCCAAAGACAACCAAAGTGGTGCACACCAGCGAAAAAGAATGTATCCTAGAGGGAGGAGACCGGCTCTTCTTCAGCGAATGCAGTCCACCGCTGCCACGCGATGGAAGGATTGTGTGAGGCCATACTGATGTGGTCAAAAGCAATAACCCTAGCAGCGCAACAATGGCCTGGTGAACGTTTGATCGTGCCCCAATGAAATCGCACTGGCCCCAAAACGCCAGGCGCAGTAGGCTTTACGTTAAAAGGCACCATTTACACCAACTCGTGGCTTTGGAGAACCATTGCACAGGAGAAAACATGGGACAACACTAAACTCAGAAACATACGTAGAAACTCAACGAACTACCAGAAAACACAGCCTTTAGCTTGGGAAGAGATATAAACTTAAACTGTCTTGTTCTTCCAAAGGTTCTTCCCCAAGGTTCCCATTCAACCTACTTATATAATCACAAAGAACATCTGAAACAAAAAACAAACAACAAAACATGATCATATTTGCTTGAGGATGTTTGAGTGTTTCTTGTTTTGCTTCCCTCAGATCTACTTGCTCCAGCAAACTCCGCGGAGAAATTCACAGCGCCTCCGCTCGAACCAGCATAGCGGCTGCCAAAGAGAGCAGGGCCACAGCGGCATAAATGATGCCTGAGCAAAAAAAGAGCGGGAGATGCAATCGATCAGAATTTTACTCTTTATGTTTTTTTTCTGCAGTACAAGAGGGCCTCTATCTATTGCATCCTATCGTATCATACACTGAAACACCTGGTTCTTCAGCTCGTGACCTTCACTTTTGACCTCCTGGGTTGCTTCGGTCACGGTTCCAGGCCAAAAACGTCTCAGGTCACGACGAAACTGGGGACTCCTGTAACAGGTCACCACCTGAAGGACTCACGTCTCACGTCTCGTCGAGCGCCTCGCTGGGTCGACGGCTCGAGGCTCAGGTCGGGTGCAATGCCGCGAAGCGCAGCGCGAAGCGCAGCGGTGCGGCTTGGGTCTCGTGACCCATGATACGTATGCTTCAGATCTCACGCCAGATCTCCCTGCGAATGTGTGTGTGTGATCACATATATTTTTCTCACACATGACATGACATTCACTAGCAAGTTGCTATGGATCACCAACTGCAGTATCCGTCTTTGTCACAGATATCATGTGCATCTGCCCGCCGTCCGCTGCTTCAGTCGGTTTCGGTCGGGATGCGCCAGCCGCTGATGCCCCAGAGGTGTCCGCGCGCGGTGGCGGTCGTCACAAAGGTCGAGAGTTCAGCCCTTAGATGTAGACTCTTGATTCCATATAAACTCCCTATAGAAGTTATCATGGATAAGTGGGAAGAACACAGGTGCCTGAAAGATCTTTCTTCTCTAACAGGTGGTTTTCCACTTCCATCTTAATGACTCGGAGAGTAACCCGCATAATGAAGAGGTGGCTTGATATGGAATTTGATTAATCAAGAGTCTACAAGGTGCGCAGCTGAGAGGTGGAAAGCAATATTGAAGACTAAAACAAAGAAATTGATGGGACACCAAGGACACCCCTACAAATATACAAAGGCTTTAAACGCATTATAGGCAAATTAGGTGCTTCATGTATCTTCATGTGGGTATAACCACGTGATCGACATGCCATGCCTCCCATGCCTCACGTCATTGGCCAAGCCTTGAAGGCCTTGAAGCAACAGAAAACCTCCACTCATCACACTCCTCACTCCTCCCACTTCGGCCGCCTCACTACCCGTCTCACCACCCTTCACCCACCGGTGCAGCCGACCGCCGAGCGGCAGCACGGAACAGAGGGACTTCATGAGACCAAAGGCGCTGCCGCGCTGCTGCTCCGGCACCAGGTCACCTAGAGCTGCAGCGCTGCGTGCTGAGCGCGGGACCAAAGGGGGTAGAAAGCGGGCGAAAGGTGGGGGCGGGCGGAAAGCGGGCGGGCGGGGTAAAGGGGGGGGCATATGGATAAAAGGCAATGGATGAGAATTGAAGGGAAGACGGGCTAAAAACTGACAAGCCAAAAGCCCGAAGTTGGATGAAGTTGGGTGACATGTTGTGGCTTCAAGTAGGTTTGATGCCTAAAGCCCAGCCTTCCCAACTAAAAGCCGTGGCTTCTGAAGAACAGATTCGGTGCTGCATGTCCAAGATTGCTGAAGACATGATCCCAGCCGTTTCGTGAGTGTCTCCATCCCCGCTCTTGGATGGAGGGCCTTCCTGTTTTGACCCGGTTCAGCTTCAAAACACGAAGGAAAAAACAAAGGAACTGGTCTCTATCATACCTGCTCTCTACAACTGGTCTGCCACAATCTTTTTTGGGCTTCACCAAAGGGCACACCAACAAGATCAAACGAAGTCGATGCCCTAAATGACAGCACCGACCTATTCCCCCCCTCCAAACGAACTTGTCTCATCAAGGAAAAGCCTTGGCCGCACTCCAACCCCGGGGGCCTGTGGATCCAACAGCTGCCACTTGAAAGAGCAGGAACGATGAACCACCCAGGGCGACTGGTGGGACCATCCTGTCTGGGACCATCGGAAATCCCCTAAAGTAGTCCAGCCAGATGACCACAGGATGGTCCTGGTGTGCTGTGACCCCCTCCAAGTGGGCTGTCTTTTTTTGTCAACGATCAGAGACCCACCACGGCCACGCCGAGAAATGCGAGAAATGCAAGTCTGGGTGACAAATCATCGCCTGGCCAATCGGCATGACCACCTGGCTGCGAGGTGCGGAAGGGCTGAATGTGTGGAAGCCAGGAAAACAGCTGTTACATCATGCAAAACACCGGCACTCCCCCCAGTTTGGAAGGGGGAGTTCACCAAATGGAACATCAACCTGCCCCCCGATCAGCAACAAAAAACAAGAAACCCTACCTGGACCTTCAAGGGGTGTCCAATGGAGGTCCCTTAGTAGTGTAGGGGCTTCCATTGGAGACCCCTTTGAAGGTGCTGGTACACACACTCTTGGGAAGTTCCCGGATAAAAACAAGTTGAACAAAACAGGATTTGATCAGTGTAGGATAGTGTAGGGGTGACCATCCAAATGCCGCCACCTCATTCCCCAGCGGATCAATCAAAGTTCTCACTTGATGTTCCGCGGAACACCTCAATGGCCGTAACGGTTCAAAGGTCTCCAATCTGGAACAAAACGTATGGTGGAAACGCAGAACACCTTTGCCTCAGGCTGGATTCTGAATTGCAACTTTCCAACATCTTCAACCAACCCAAAATGAGTCAAACTGAGGGAAACAAAGACCACCTGTCAATGGAAACCTCCTCCTTTTGCCTGAATGTCTTGAACCTCCTCCTTTCCCCTGGCCCCCTGGTCTCCCCAATGGCCCAACACCAAGGGACTGCAAGTGAAGCACCAATGAGCAGTCGTAGGTTGAAATGGGCCAAGTAGGAGGAACCTAACTGGATGTTGCCAGTCAAGCGCTGGAAACAAACACCATCGGTCACTGGAAATGACACGCGAACAAATCAACAAATCCAGATAGAAATCGCAGAAACAAAGAGAACATGGAACGGAAGAAACCAAACACAAAGAAAGACCCAAATGTGTTCAGACTGGCTTGAAGCCCAAGTTCATCGTTTCGAGACTGAGAACAAATGAGCTGTGTTGGCACATGAACCATCGGAATCGGAAGAAGCCGACCTCTCAATGCAACCCATCGATACATCTAACCTCAAGGCTCGCAACATGTCATCCTTCGATCTACGGCATCTGGTCACTGTACCTCCCGGCACCGAACGAAAACACATCAGTACCTCCCGGCACCGGGGGTCCCTTCACCGCCTCTGTTGGACCCGTGGCTCGGACCCGTTGGACGAACGACGGATACGGAGAAGCCGAGAACGATGTGACGTCGAAGAAGGAACAGGCCCGGGATCTGTATGACTTCCAAACATGAACGGTTTCGTTTTTCCCCACCTGCCAGGTGAGGGTTGTTAGATTTTATCACAGTTGTTCTTCCTCCTCCTCCTTCCTTCCTCCTTCTTCCTTGCTTCCTTCCTCGCCAATCTGCTTCGCCAATCTGCTTCTCCGATCTTGTCTGGCCAGCTCCGGATCGCAGTGTGCACCCCTGGACCTCAACCGCAAGGATCCCCTCGCAGTGTGCACCCCTGGACCTCAACCGCAAGGATCCCCTCGCAGTGTGCACCCCTGGACCTCAACCGCAAGGATCCGATCGCAGTGTGCATCCCTGGACCTCAACCGCAAGGATCCGATCGCAGTGTGCACCCCCGGACCTCAACCACAAGGATCCGATCGCAGTGTGCATCCCTGGGCCTCAACCGCAAGGATCCAATCGCAGTGTGCACCGCTGGACCTCAACTGCAAGGATCCTTGCGGTTGAGGTCCAGGTGTGCACACAACCCCAAACACAATCACAAACACAAACACAACTACAAAGACACAACCACAAGCACACAACCACAAACACAACCAGAAACACACGATCACAAACACACAATCACAAACACACGACCACAAACGCGCAACCACAAACACACAACCACAAACACAATCACAAACCCACAATCACAAACACACAACTACAAACACAACTACAAAAACACAATCACAAACACATAACCACAAACACAAAACCACAAACACACAACCACAACCACACAGCCACAAACACACAATCACAAACACAATCACAAACACAATCACAAACACGCAACTACAAACACAATCACAAACACACAACTACAAACACAACTACAAAGACACAATCACAAACACACAACCACAAACATACACACAACACACAACCACAAACACACACACAAACACACAACCACAAACACGCAACCACAAACACACAACCACAAACACACAAACACACAACCACACAAACACACAACCACAAACACACAACCACAAACACAACCACAAACACATCCACAAACACAACCACAAACACACAACCACAACCACAAGTACAAACACACAATCACAAAGACACAACCACAACCACAACTACAAACACATAATCACAAAGACACAACCACAACCACAACTACAAACACATAATCACAACCACTACCACTACCACAAACACAACCACAAACACAACCACAAACACATCCACAAACACACAACCACAAACACAACTACAAACACACAATCACAAAGACACAGCCACAACCACAACTACAAACACACAATCACAAAGACACAAACACACAACCACAAACACACAACCACAAACACACAACCACAAACACACAACCACAAACACACAACCGCAAACACACAACCACAAACACACAACCACAAACACAACCACACAACCACAGCACACAACCTGAGGACCCACAAGCAACATCGAGAACTACAATACTAACGACTATGGCAACATGCTCCTCACTATGGCATCAAGACAAATGATTGAAATGTCATGGTGGGGATCACTCGAAGTATAAAGCATGTTTTTCCGTTTTGTTTTTTGCGTGCCTGCTTTCAAGAGAGGTCACTGCAAAAAATAGTTAGCTAGTCATTTTAGGTCCTTTGGTGTGAGCTCTCAGGGTCTCAAGATCTCAGCTTTCCAAGGAGGCGAACGTCATCGACTCGATGTCCACAAGCAGAACAAACACCCTGAGGAAGACCCCTCTGTGCATCTCTGTGCTGCGTTTGGTGGCCGGACCGCCGTTTGGGCAGGGAGCTGCCTGGCAGCCAAGAGCAGCCCAGTATTTTTGAGATCCAGGATCCAACGAAACAGAACAAACAGATCCAAACAGATCCAAACCACCGCAAGATGATCCAACCATGAGAAATCCCAACACCCCCGATGGTCAGACCATCCAACCAGGCACCCCCTTGGTCAGGTCGGTCGGTTGGGTGCCCCCGCTGCAGGAGACCATCAAAGTGAAGAAACCCCAAAGGAAGCAACCTGAGGAAGGTCGGGCGGTTTGTATCCTTGAGCCATTTTGAGTGCCATTTCGAAGCTATATGTTGTGTTTTTTTGTTTCAATAGGTGTTGGACTGAATAGATGTCCCGCACAAAAGAAGATTTCCCAGAATAGGTGTCATTTCAATCGACTAGAATCACTAGAATGGACTAGATGTTCATCTCAGTCGATGGACAGAACTGGAGCTCCAACAGGTCAGCGTAATGCCTTTGGGGTTTTGGAGAGTTTTGGATGCAATGTGATGGTCATGTGATAAAGACGATGTGAAAACAATAGGAGATGAGGTGATCGACTTGCGTGATCGTCTGGATCGGTCCATGTCATCCAATGTGTGATGTAGAAATCTGGAAGGAAAAGACCGCCAGAAGTGGAAGGAAGTTCTCGCTGCCCAACTGGACCCCTGGTGAATCACCGTAGCTCAAAGGACTGCCAGAGGCGCAGTTTGGTGGAGTGAACACCCAGTGTTTGGATCTGTCTGGTAGTCGGATTTCATGGTTTTCAAGGGGCCAATTGGTCACTTCCATGTGAGTTCCAAGGAGTGTAACACTTACTACCCCCCTTTTCCGCCATCTTCCACCCCTTCTGTCCCTTTTGTTCCCCAGGGCACCAGCGGCCAAGAGATCTCGAGGTCGATGGTATTGCATCAGAGAGCCCCACAGAGGCAGCGCCAAGGAGAAAGCGATACTCCTTGGCGCGCATTTGGGGTCACCCACGGATCGACGGAAAGAACTGGGCGGAGGATGGGGGGGGAAGCCTGCGATCTTTTCGAGGGGAAGCCACAAGGAAGTGAGAACATCTCCCGGAAGCCATGGGAAGACGGAAGGTGAAGTGAACAAGCGTGACATACCGTGACAACGAAGGTGAAGTGTGGTAAAACTGCAGGGCCAGACTTTCGCAACACTATAGGCAATGACTTGTGAAATACATTAAAATACCGCGAGTAGAATACCGGGAGTGGGTAGGGTACACTTTCAAGTGAACGGAGGAGAGCTTACACTGTAACCACCCCCACGATTCCTCCAACGCCACCCCTTCATCACCCAGGTCGCTGGGCGAAGCTCAGGGCACCCAGATCGCGAGGACCGATCTGCGCGCGCAGCGCGCGGTGCTATCGGCGCGGTCGATGCGGGAGAGAACGTGAGCGGTGCGTGGCTGACTTGGTGGCTGGTTTGGAGGTTCTCATTGACAGCCACCATGTGCCCCAAGAAACAAACACACATGGAGAAGTTCGACCAAAGTGTAGACTCGGTGGTTCGACCATGTGCGAAGAAAGAGATATTATGAAGCAACCTGACGCCGGGCGTGTGGCCAACATCTCGGGCTCGGTTGGCCGAAGCCATGGCATGTTCGAACGAAGCAAAAGCGTCTCTCAAATCGTTTAGACATCAAACTTATCACACAACCCTTAAAGTTCAACGCTGCGAGTCGGATGAACTTCAATGGCCTATGGCTTTCCCGCGGAATTGGTGTTATCATGTCTGTTATCACTTGTTATCCTATAGTCACTAGTCATGGTCTTTCTGCAGTGTTCAACCCAGGCGCAGGTGCAGGTGAGCCTCAAAACTGGCGAAAACACGCAAACCGCGTCCCGTGCCGCAACGAATCCCAAAATTCTGACCGGGGCACCTGAAGTTCTTCCTCCATGGCCTTGAACGTGGCAGGTAGAAGGGCCTTGTCTGCCGCGTCCACCGCACACGCCTAAGTTCGCCCTTGGCAAGGCCAAGGCACCATGGGCCGGGCTGGGGGTCGTGGCCCGTCTAGCAAGACCAGCAGCTGAATGAAAACCCATTGAAATCGGGGCAAGGTCGATGATTGGGTTTCGATCGCCACATCCAGTAGCATCTGGAGTTGGTATTCGCCAAAAGAGAGGTTCGGTTCGGCTCTGCCTCTGTCAGTAATGTCGAGTTAAAGATTGGAATTCTTTTTACCAGGCTTCACCGCAAGAACGTTCCACGTTCGGATTCCACTCGAAAGCATGCATATTGTTGCCAGTAGATCTTGGTTGCGCTTCACATGAGACCCCGAACAGATCCTTGGAAGCTGCAGGGGTTGGTCCATCCACATGACCTTCCGCTGTGGGGTCAAGACCTTCCGCTGTTTCAGCCACCGGAAGAGATGACGACCCTCTCTCTCTCTCTCTCCTTTCATGCACCGCCCCACACAAACTTGGATCAGGGGAACCTCAACACTCTCTACACCAAGCTACCAGTCGTACCTTCTCAGGTTTGGTACGACTGAACTACCCTCCTGGCACCTACGTAGCAGCTTCTCCAATCAGTGGATCCCAGATGGGTTTCTTTGGACTTGTGACCTAGACTCGAAGGACGCCTTGCTCTTCCTGGTCGCTGACTGGTCGCCAACTGAAGACCAGGGAGTAAGAACTGGAGACCCCAGCGGAACAGGAAAAAGCTCCCTGTGAGCATTCAAGCTATCGCACGAGATGACTCCAGCAGGCGATCCGAAGCCTCTTCCGAATCGGAACCCTCTTCCCCACCCCACACATGAGCTGAGACGCAAAGATCACCACCTTGGTGAGATGAGGGGAGCTTAAAAAGTAAAAACAACGAATAACAACACATGAACAACAAGGTAAAGTATGTCTATTGATTCTGGCATGTTTCCAATGCGTGGTGGGTTGGCCTCATGATGCCTTCGGATCCAAAATGCACGCTTCGGATCCGCTCCGTGTCGGCCGCTTCGGTGGCCGTTTCACTCGGCGAACTCGGCTTGCCGTCCGAGTCCGTCCAAGGTCGATATCACTCAGGTCAACCGATCGACGCGCATGCCGTGTGTTCCATGGTGAAACTATCTCGATGAAGCGCACAGGTCAACTCAGTCGAAACCACCCCAAACCACGGCTGCGGCTGCCGGAGCTGTGTCTGCCAAGTAGCGCAGCAAATCCGCCTTGGAGATGAATAACTCTTTGGCATCTCGTTCTCCAGATCATCCATGGCAGGGATTGGCCACGCAACCGGTGGCGGGATTGGTTTTTGCGGACCAATCGAACCAGTGGAAGGAATGGACTTTTGTATACTTTTGTTAAATAGGGGAACCAAAGGAGTAAGATTTCTTGTTCCTGTACTGATTCTTAAGGGGGTTCGGAACTAGCTGTTCAAGGAGCAACTGCTTGAAACAAAGCCTCTCTTCAGCCTTGGAGAACTCTCAACATCTCTCAACCAGTTCCTTATCTTTGACATCATCGCCTAGCTGTTTTCTTTTTCCACATCTATCGTCAAAATCACTTGAAAAATCACCTGATGTGGTCTCTGCCTCTCCTCTAGCCTCTCTAGCCTCTCCTACCGTCAAAATCCGGACCATTCACCATCTTTGTGGCCCGGAATCATCGACATCCCCCATGAGTCAGCCGCTCGGTCTACGTCAGCTCAACGAACCGCGCGGTGTGTTTGCTGGTAAACACGTCCGAAAAGACCATGGTAGTGGGCCAAGTTGGGTCAACAGTATCAATCCACAACTCCACCTCTGCACTCTTGCGCTAGAGCAGTTAGCCAGCATATTCCTTGGAACCCTCTTGAGATATCTTGAGACATAGGAGGGATCTTCAATATCATATAATATCCAAGAATCAAGAATGATATGAGTTATATTGAGTTATATTGAGTTGTGATATGTTCATGTGTTCTTTCACAACCATGGACCATACACTCACATACTACATCACATGCTATCAACCTAAATCGCATGTGAACATCTGAGTCGCTTGCCCTTCATTCTCCTTGAGGCCCCGGTAGGTAGCGATGTGTATTGCAATGGTGTCGACCTCCTCACCATCCACCGCCCGTGCGCGGAGCCGCGGAGCTCCGGTCGCTCGAGCGCTGGGCGTTCGGGCCACCTTCGAGACGGCCGCCCGCCATGCGGTGATGCGACTCCAGCTGGCCTGGCGGCCGGCGGAGTCGTTGCTTCATCAGCAGGGGGGGGAAGTTGCTTCACCTGGAGAATGAAGTAAAAGGCCCTGTGGCCCTGGTGTTACAAGTGTTCTGTCTAGGTCCAGAGTCAGTCTCCAGACCCCAGCGCCCTGCCGGGACCTGACCCGACCTGAGGTCTCCAGTCCCCATCCCAGACCTTCCGAACCCCCCCAAAAATCACCATCTCTGCTTCAAGAACAGTTAAATCATGTTAAATCCACTTAAGTCACGTATATCTCTTCCCTTAATTGTATATCTCTTCCCTCATCTCCACTCATATCCACTCATTGGTCAACTCCTATCACACTCGATCCGACTCTACCAGGGCACTCTACGGGTCCGAGCCTGATGTTTTCTCATCTCATTCAGAACACAGTCCATCAAATCTGGCCGCATGGTCTCTCTGAAGAAGACCTTGGCAGCGACCAACTTTCACCAGCTTTTCGCAGGTGTTCGAAAGTTTGAGATATTGCGGAACCAGCTGTGAAAGACAACACAAATCCGAGTTGCTACAGTCCAGTTCCATGAAAATCCAAATGGTTCTCTCCTTCAGCCAAATGGTGTCCCATCCCTCTCCTCAGTAGGCCCTCTTCAGCCACCCTGCCGGCATCTGCCAGATCTCTGCTGGTTCATGGGGTTCAAAGCTGCACACGTCGCCTTCCTTCGAGGTCTCCACTTCGCCTCCGAGTCCACGGACGCGGCGTTTTTCTCGCAGATGATAGGAGATGACCCAGGCACTGCATGGGGCTGGCATATTTATATACATTGACCCCTGTTCAACCACCCCAATAGTAGGTCAATATGCCAGTCCCATGGAGTGTGTGGGGGATGACCTGCTAGTGTTGGAGGCCCCAGGTGGCATGTCAGAGGCTTGAGTCGGTCTTCAAGTGTGACGTTTGCACGTGACATGACCATCATTGATCTGCAGAAAGTGGCTAGGTCTGAGGAAAACAGGACAACTCTTTAAAGTTGACTTCACTTTGGCAATTGCATGGTAATTACCCCGCTGAAAACTAACATGGAACCTGAACACCACTGGTTTGTAGAGGAAAACAGTCTTTCAGGGCGCCATTCTCAGGGTCCATGTTAGTTTTCGGGAGTGTACTTCTTCTCTGAAGTAAACTTAACTTGGTACAGTGATTACCATTTGTTACGTTGTTCTCTCCTGAAGGATGATCAATCATCAACCCTTCACCAGTGAACCGTCGACAGTGCGCTAGTACCGTTCTACTGGTACGTGCACCTTCGAGCCATCCAAAAGATATTAACAAATCACAGTTTTGGCACGTTTTGGCCTCATCAAAACAACTCAACCAAACGCCGAAGCTAAGCAACAACAAGCTTAGGACTTTCATGTCCAGCCGCCCAGCCTATCAGCAGGAGCGTTCGGCTGTGAGCCTGTACATAGAGGAGGCTTTCCTGATGCGCAGCGAGCGCGAGCGCGGCTCAACGGCTCTGTGGTCATGTCGGGTGAACCGGAAAAAACCATCGGTGCCACTGTACTTTTGGCCTACCACCATCGAGGTCTTAACGTTGGTCTAGTGACTAGTGTTGAGCCGCTTTCATTTGGGTCTGAGAACAATCCTGCACCTGCTCCCCTTTTTTCAATCTACATCATTGACCTCAATCATGACCGGCATCCCTTAGCCGGCCTACCAGTGAATCACAAAGGCCAATTCCTCACTATGTGACCTTTCTCGAGCGCCTTCGAAGATCTCTATCATGTGTTTTCTTGCTTCCCTTTGTACTATGTACGGTCTTCTCTTCCCGAAGATAGGCACTTCTCGGTGGCTTACCTTTTCAGTTTTCTGGGCACCTCGCATTCTGTGCCCTCCGCCACTGGCGTGCCGCTGCACTCCTCCGCCCTCCGTCGACCCGGCTCGATTGCCGCAGTGAACCGCCATGGCGCGCACTCATAGAGGCCCGTCTCAGAGCTCTTGCTCTCCACCGTTTGAACCCGCCACAAGGTGCGAGCCTCGCGCTGCACGGCGGGTGAAAGCGCGATGGCCGCGAGGTCTGGTGCACGCGTGAGAAAAATGAGAACAGGGCGAACGCATGTTCGTTTGCGGCCCCAGGTCGTGCGTTCTTTTTTTGGGGTGTGGTGAAAGGGGAGGAAACGCGAAAAGGATCCTGGATTCTGGATGTGGACGTGGACATAAGATGACATAAGTGACAGGTGAAACACTTACAGGTGCCCTTTTAACAATCTGCCCCAACAGCAAATTGATTGCTATAGAATCTGATAGAGTCCTTATTCGATAGGCTCCGTATACATGGGAGGATCGTCAATCAAGTCAATGTCAATTCCTACTGTACCGGCTGTCTGCTTTGTGCTACCTGCAGCGGCTGGCACCCCAAAGCCGCATTCGGCCTCATCTGGCCAAATGGACATTAGCTGCTGCATCTGGGGCGTGTTAGCCTGGACTGCCACTGGCTGGGCCGTCCTGGGTGGAGGAACGTTGGTTGGAACGTACGAGCGGATGCCGGTGGTGACTGGGCGCGCGGGAGGCTTGAGGCTTGACTCTCCCAAATTTGAGGGCTTGAGGCTTGACATCTGCCAGGATGAACCAAATATCCCGGGTCCGTCACGGCGCAAAGAAGCTACCCCGTGTTTTTTTACTTACTCACGGGATCCCTTCCAAAACCCCTGAGCGGTCACTACATGATACCAAATGGAGGGATGAGAAGACACCTGGGGCCCAGGGGGATACATTTGACATCATTTGACTAAGTCAGCTCCCAAACCCAACTCAGCTGTGTGGATGTCTAACTCAGCGCTGTCTCTTGGCCACTATTAAAAAAGACCTCACCAATCTGATATCTTTCTCTCTCTCTCTCTCTCTTCCTGTGTCCATCCGCCCAGGTTTGTGTTGCCAACACATCCGACAACTCAAGTGGTGCTGGTGCCGGTCCTGATTTTTTGGCTGGAAACTCGACCTGCAGCTTCCTGACCTGGTCCCTCCCAGGGACCGCCATTCGCCCGGGGTAAGGTCCCAACCCAGCTGTGGACCTTGGGCGACCTTGAGCGACCCATTCACTGTGGATTGTTGTTGTGGCTGGTGTGTGTCATGTTTTCTGGCTGGAACACAGGGTCAACCTGCTAGTAGCAGGCGGACGGTCTGTAGGGCGGCCGTGCAAGTCATGGGTCCAAGCTTTTCGCCCAATCCCAGTGGTAGCGCATCTGACTCCACGCCTTCAATTCAGAGATCGAGCCAAGAGCCATGTCTCCTATACCATTCAAGTATGAGCACCCAATTTCGGGAGATCCATCCTTCTCATCACCCCCATCACAGCCCAACCTGACCCAACTCACGGCTGAAACCGCCGCACGATCCGTCCCTCCTTCGGTGCGCCGAGCGGCACCACCAAGACATGTCCCATGAACCCCCCAGCATTGCCGATGTTGGAGATCTGCCCGGATCCTCGAATGAGCAGCACGTCACCTGCCGCTGCAGCGAATGGTTTAAAGGGCCAGGCTGAACGACCTATGCCTCACCCAGGCTGAACGCTCAGTTCAGGCCGAGGAACTTGGTGGGAGGTGCGTTTGCCCCGGTCTCAAACGGTGCGAACAAGAGGTGGAGGGACACTGCAGCTGCGAAGGGTGGAGGTGCGTTTGCTTTGCGGACGAAACACGGAGGTGTTTTCAAGCGCCGACTCTGGAAAATGGGGGGGGTCATTAATCCTGTATTGACATAAACATATAGTTACATACATAAACCATGAATGACGTCAGCAGCCGGCAGCGATGAAATTGAAAGGCTCCAGCCTGGTGCCATCACCAAGTCTAGGTTGTCCCCTTTCATGGCAAGCTGTTCCTGGCAAAGCCTCAGGGTGAGTGGTGAATTCTCTTTCCCTGGTCAGGTATGCTGCTAGTAAGGTGAACCAGACCACCCCTGGGTGACAACAAGAGCCTCTTCAGGAGACACGAAGGAGATTATCGTTTTGAACATCAAATCACCAATTTCTCAACCGTATGTGTTTCATGGTGTTTCAGCTTAGATGCACTTCAATGATCTAGTTCCTATAGTTCCTATTATCAATGCACTTTAACATCCACTTCTAAATGCCCAAAAAGCGCTGCCAGCCCACGTGGCGGCTTTGGCAGGCGTCCAAAGCACCCAATCCCCTCACTCGCGCGCGCATGGTTCTTCCGTGTCCAGCAGCATAGGTGGTCCAGGTGGCTGTCCCGGCACCTGCCTTAGCACCACAGCGAAGCGCCCCAAACAAGCACTGCGGCACTGGGAAGCACGAGCCGGAGTGGTTTTTCGGGGTTTCGGGTCTAACCACATCTAACCACCAACATCCATGTGGATCCCAAATCAACCAAACCACGGAAACTCCTGGATGTTGAAACGTTTATATATGGACCTTAAATGACCTCAACCTGGACCCTTGGAGAAACCAAAGGCCGCCCCTATGCCATATAAGCTCATTCCGTCCCTAACCATCCATCTAAGCTCCTGCCGACCGGCCTCCGCCCGGACCGGCGCGCGCTCTCTCTCTCTCTCTCTCCCCGCCCGGACGTCCAGACGCGCCGGTCTCTCCAAGTCGCATGAGCTGGTTGAGCTGTGTGGCATTCAGACGCAGCACGTTCTGGTTCACCCTCCGGGCCACATTTGACAGGGGCCGTTGTGAACATGCGGGCCACAACTCGGGGACATGTGTGTGTTTAATCGTTTACGTCACGTTGCTTTTCTCTTCGATTTGTGCGGCACTGCCCCAACTTGGGGCAGGGTGAACACCCCTTCACGTGCAGCGTCTGATTGAAACAGTGAAAGAAAGGTGAGGTGACTAATGTCACAAAGCTGGAAGCAATCAATCGTCTTTATTTATGAGACAACTCGACATCTTCCCCCCCCACATCTCACGCCGACCTACTTACCATAACTTCCATCCACCATAGGAACCTGGACGAACCTTTTCTCAGTTCTAAGCCACCCCAGAAACCTACGGAACCTGGCCGAACCTCCTCCAAAACCCGTTTTCCATCCGTTTTCGAAAACAACGACGCACCGTGAGCACCTCCTGGGAGACCGGAGCCTTGGTGGACTGAAACGCGAGTCGCGATGTGGCTACTGGGTGGAGATGGAATCTGGGTGGATGGGCACAGGGGGACCGGGTTGTTTCCCACTGAACATGAAGAGAATCGACAAGCAAACATGGTGAACCTATAGCAGGGATTACGGGGGCTTCACCATGTGGGTTGCACACCATTTCACCAGGTGCCAAGGTCGACAGCACTTCTGGTGCGAAGACGGATGTGGCCGAACCTCAAAGACCAGAGCATCGAACATGTCATGTCTACCCAGCGGATGGCGATCGGACGGGAAAGAGAATCCGGACCGGAAAAGACACACAATGTGGTGATCCCATGTGATCCCAGTTGAAAAAGTGGGGTGAATTTCTTCACCGGGTGCCAGGCTGTCAATATGTTGATGTTCGAGGCATCCAAAGAGCTTTCAACAAGCTGATTGAAGTGGGTCCCTCCGTTGAAGGGAACATCCACAGCTGGAGTATGTTGCTGAAGGTAGTGTTCTGAATGCCTTTTCACTATGGCAAAGGCAAAACCTACTGATTTCTGTAAGGATAGTCCTGCCTTGTGGCTCCCCAATGGTCCTCTGATTCCAACGCCCTTTGCAAAGGAGAAACTGTGGCAACCGAGCCAACCAGTGTGGATGCTACTCTGATGTTGTGCTTTTGTCAAACCCAGCTGTTGATGGAGTCCCAGCTGTTGTGCGTTTGCCAAACTCTCCACCGAAAACCAGATGTTATGTCCGAGAAAAAGCACCAAAACCGAAAAGACCAACCATGATGGATCACAAAAGGTCCTAAGTCTATAAGACTTCTGGGAATTGAAACCATTTCAGCCATCCAAAGATATTTGTCTATAACTAATTCAGAGATGTATATTTCCAGTCATAGTAATAGGGATATATATATATATATATGGATATATGATATATAGCAGTGTTGAATGATTTACCATGGAAATTGTCAGATTCAGGCTATTGAAGGTCGATTCCAGTGTCCCTACTTTCTGACAAAAATAAGAACGTGTCTCACTACAACAATAGAAATCAAACACCACATACCCAAACCGGAAAAAAAGTACCAAAAAAGCTTGTAACTCCTCCAACTACACCACTATACCTCCCCTCTCCTCCAGTTCACTTCCATCCCTCCCATCGCTGCCGAGCAGCTCCGCAGTGGACTTTCCGCTGATGGAGCTCATAGACCGCGTCCGATCGACCTCGCGCGCGGCGACCTCGGGGCTGCGCTCCTCGGGGCTGGTGGCACCCGAGTTGAGCGCCGGTAGCGCCTGCGCGAGCGCTCACGAGCGAAGGAGGGTGTGGAGGTGGGGCGAGGAGGGTGAGGAGGTGGAGGAGCTTTCTGAAAATGGTCAATATCTCCAAAATGAGGGCAAAAGGCAATGAGAACATGAGAAGATCTGCTATGATCTTAAGTGGTAGAAAGGTCATTTCTGCTCGGTCCAAACGAAGGTGTTCGGCCCAGTTCAACCGAGTTCCGGGCTCGTTGTGCGACCAATCCACCGAGTTCCAACCGATCAATCGTCCAATGGTATACCGCCCCACCACAAACGGACCACTGTACAAAAGCATGTGTTGATTCGCACTGACCCCCTGTGGTTTTTGGGGTTCCATGATGTTCCATGTTCATCTGCAGCGGAGCATCCAAAAAAAGGAGTCATGCAACAGAAAGGAATTATCCAATGCCATGTTGTATTTGATACCAACCTCAGTTCTTTCGAGGGGACAAGCCAAGTTCTAAATGTTTTCACCCCACCAGCAACACTATCCTTATGTCTTTTTCAGTAAGATCTGGCCAAGCAAACAAAACAACCATCTTGATATCTGTGGATTTCATCAACAATCATCAACTCAATATCCCAAAATCAACTCCCCTGTTTTGATGCTTGTTCCCACGAAGATACCATTGATCTATAGATTTTCCAAGGGGAACCGACCGACAGCGGCCTCGATTCACGGCCTCAACAGTGGCGGCCTCAGCACCGCGGCCCTCGGGCGGCTTCCTGTCCGTCTCTGATCTCGCCCTCGGCCGGGAATGGGGAATGGGGGTCCGTAGCGATTCGAGTTGATGCCAAGCCCAAGCACACGAATTATATATGTCTCCTAAAATGGTGTGATCATGTGTGATCTTATCCGTACAAAGTAGGTGTTTGACGGTGATTGATTCTTTATTGATGGTTAAGTTCTTCTTCCACCAGAGTGCTTGGATTGACCTCGCGCACCTCGCGAGGTATATTAATCCTGCAGCAGCCGAAAACTTGCTGCTTTTGAGCTCAGTCTGTGGCGATCCAACTCATTGGTTTTAAGTTTTAAGCTTTGCAGCTTTGATTCTTTGGATCGTGTGCAGCGAGAGGCTATCGCGGTGCCATGAAAACTAAACTTATGTGCTTTGGAAAATAGGATGAAATAGGGGGGTTCTAAGACATGCTGAAACTGCACACTAGAGCATTTCCTGCCTCAACACACGGTCAAATTGTCCTTAAACATCTTTGTATGTTGCTTCAACCACTGGTACAAGACTTCACAGGAATGTCAGTTGGGCAGCCGGGCAAAAAACATGATGCCCAAACCACGTACTTGAAGCGATGTCTTTAGTTTAATTTAGTTATGCTAAGTTCTTGAAGTCAAGGTTTAGTTCTATAGAATTTCAAGGTCAAGAGCCAGTCTCGCCCAAAACCATCATAACTGCTTCACTCTCATCTGACTTCGAGTGGAAGAACTCTGCCATGTGAGCATCGCTGCTCGGTTTTCCGAATCCGAATGTCCTGCGACCGAATGGCATCCTGCTCAACCGAGGCGTTACCCCGGTCGACCAGGACCCGACTTCACAACACAGGTTTTTGAAGTGGCGTCGATTTAGGACTTGACCAAAAGCAGGTGGTGACCTGCTTGGATTGGCTTGTTTCGGGAAACATATTCACTAGAAAGGGATTGAACCATAGGGAAAATACACAATCACCTTAAGCAAAACCAAACCTGTTGAATGGTGCTGGTACTGGTTGCTTTTCACAGCATGAATAAAGACAATGGATAGCATCCTTCGACATGTCTTTGTACATCTATATAAATATGCCTAGATTCGGCCTAGATGCCTATCAAGAAATACGTATCAAATAGCATTGAACCAACCGAGCAAAAAACATGGTGTCGTGTCGACACTTATAACTCAAAGTACTCCATGTGACTGCCATAGGACTACCTACATTGGGGTCCATTGATCGGCAGTCCGCAGTCCTGGGGCTCTCGCCAGTCCGACTGCGCCCACCCATGTCGCTGGGCACCCGAACTCCTCCTCCGATTCAGGTCTTTGCCTCAAGGAACGAGACGAACGAAACACCCCCAAAGGGCGGGATTGTTCACAAACCAGGAGAGAAGAGATGAAGAAGTGCACATCATATCCAGAAAAGAAGTGTTCGCTGGAAGATTGCATTCTGAATTCTATCTTCCGATTTGGGAAGTTTCTGATCCAAGAGCCACAGCTGACATCGCCTCTGAAGCGGCTGGTAGTTGAATCGTTGAGAATGCACCGGAAATCATTGAAATATGTTGCTTGAAACTAGAACCCCCTCCTCCAGCCAAATCTGTCAGAGAACACCTTGTTCAGTGTCATCCGTGTTCTTTCGTTGAACCCATTGGCGCTAACCCGAGCCAGCGCTAACCCGCTCTCAGAGTTGAAATCCGTTCGCGCCTCAACTTCTCCAGTTGGCCTCTCACCGTCGACCAATTCGAGAAGTGCAAAGAAAAGGACTTGGATTTCAGGTGGTGTTTTTGGTTGCGTGTTCTTTTCCCTGGTGGGGAGGGCTTAAGTTGGTTTTGGTGCTTTTCATGGTTTGGGCGCGCGCCTCTTTGTTTTTGTTCGTGTGTGCAGGCAGGCAAGCGGAGATGGGAGATAGATCGGTTCGATCGATCGATGGTCCAGAAACCGGTTCATTTGAGTCCCACACAACTGGACTCAGAAACGACGAGTGGACTCATGCATGAGAGGTCATCTGCAAGCAATGGATGTAGAGGAGACCTGTTGGAGGGTCCTGGTCGTTTGGTTCTTTGGGGGGTCTCTTACCATCTCTCCAACCTGCTCAGATCCTCCTGATCCTCCTGCCCCACTGCACTCGCACCTGCAGGACTAATTGGTGGCACCAGCCCCACTTGCTTGCGAACTGCGCGAAAGGCGAGCCGGTGCTTCACTCGCGGGCAGTTCACTGGGTGGGGAATCCTTTAAATACCTTCCAATATGCATAGAAATGATGTCCAGTAGAGGGAACACACGGCATTTCTTTGCCACACACATGGCTTTCTTTTTCTGCTCGAGGTACCTTTCTGGAGCAGTTCGTTGAGGCTGATGCCTTTGACCGTTCTCCTACAGCGCCCAAGCAAAGTGCGTGGAACCAGATTGGGGGTGCAAACTATCCTGCAGTGGGGCACTCAGCAATGCCAGCTCTTCCATTCCAATCGGTGAAAACTAACACTCTGATCGAACACATTACATGGCAGCGCAGTGGTATGGGCTCTCCAAAGACACGTTCCTGTATAAATTACACAACATGGGAGTCGGAGTGTCACACATTGGCCAATTGGCCAACTCAACCTACGGAACGTGAGAACACAAGCTTAGCAACCGGGAGCGGTAAGATCTCATGATGCCTGGAAAAGCTCGACATGCAGTTTCGTCTGGTTTCACCAATAAACCCTAGTAGCTTCTTGCTCCATGCAATGTCGTTTGGGTTCACCAATAAGCCCTATATAGTAGCTTCTTGCTCCTCGTAATAAGGCCAGGAGCCCCAGGCTCTAGTAGCTGTTTGGGTTCACCAATAAACTGGGCAACATGTCCCCAGACCTTGGGCTTTTCCACTTACACCCATCCCCCGAGGATCCGCACGCTTATCTCCACGCTGAACTCCACGGCCCTGGTGGATGGTTTGGACGGTGAACTCTTCTGACAAACCAGTGAAAGGGTGGCTTATACAGGTCAAACATCTGCACCAAGGAACATTGTGATTTGAAAGCTGCTGAAGCACTTTCAGTTTGGTCAAACCTGTCCGGACACGCCAAAGGCGCGCACCCTCTGCTCTCAAGGTATACGTCCTGCCACCTTTCTGTAAGCACATGCAAGCACCTGAATAGAACACTCCCCCCCCGGATTTCACACTGTTTTCGCCAGCGCGTCTCCAGACCCCATAGAACCCTACTACTTCACCTACCTACACCGCAGCTCTTGGACTGTCCAACACCGAGCTGCCACCATCCACCATCCACGGCTGGATCACGCGGACCGATCGACCTGTGAAAACCTCCACTCCCGAAACCTCACCATGTGGCCACTCCAGAAATGACCGAACTCCGAAGGACAATCCGACCAGTTTTTGGGACCAATTCGCCTCGAACATCCATCGTTCCTCCCACACCCCACACCCCAAGAGCGGCGTGGAGCGGCGTGGAGCGCAGAGACCACCGCGTTTGACGGGTCGTCAGCGAGCAACGGGTCAGTACTGCATCCGTTTCATGAGGTCGATCGCTCCGTACGTACTGAATCCTATAGAGTCGTTCCAATTCCGTGCTAACTCCCAAAGCAGAAAACGACCTGCATGGTAGATATGTTTTAATAAACACACACATGGTGGGTGGTTACTGATAAATAAAAAATTGAACTTGAGGATTCCGAGAATAAAAAAGAAAAGTGTTATAACATGTACTACCAGGACCTTCCCAGTGACCGAACTTGAGATCCCAGTGTCTGAGGTAAGGTCACTGACTTACCAATCCTGAAAGAGGTCACGAGTGGAAGGTCCTGGAGTACTCTTCTCCACTCTGGACCTCCCCGTTCTTCCCCAGTGGGTTTGCGCCCGCCTGCGGAGAGCAGCTCTCGGAGCGTTCGGACCTCGGTGTCGGTCACGTCACCGAAGGTGAGTCGTTCGGTCAGTCGACCCGAGAACCGAAGGAGTGTTTAGACACGTCGACCCAGAAAAACACCGAAAACACAGGAATGAGTGGTGTCGTGGGCGCCCAGTTCTGAAGAAGTGACACAGCAAGACTCAATGGATATACGGATTGGGCGCCCTTTTTTTTTCAGAGCCACCTAGTACAGAGTTTTAGCAGTGGTTCTTTTGCTGGTCTTTGGCGGTCTCCCTATTTTAGTACAGTGCCCATTTTGGGGAGAGCTTTGCGCAACTGTTGCCGGACACAGGATGGACATAAACTCTTTTATATCGCATCTTCCAAGAGGAAAGATAACGTTTAAACCCCTCTTGATCCATCCACATGCACGTCCAAACTCCCCACACCAAAGGTCACCCCTCCAAAAAGCCTCTGAGCTCCTGCCCCCAAACTCCTCGATGCGCCGGCCTCTTCACCCCTGGTCCTTCATGGTCGCCCTGGCCCTGTTACCCTCGATCCGAGACGATCCGATCGGGCCCGGGGCCGCGTCGTTCCGCCGAGGGGCGGCGAGGTGCCCGGAAGTTCGCCGCCCGAGTCGGCACCTGAGGCGGACGGTCGGAGGTCGGTGGTCGGAGGTCGGAGGTTGAGGTGTTCCCCAAAAATGGAAGGATGAGGACGAACAGATGAGGACGAACCTTGGGGAGGTTGAGGGTATAGGATCAATGCATGTGAAGGCAACAGGGAGAACATAGTTGGATCATGTTTGATCTTTTGATTGGTGATGCAGTGATGCATGAATTCAGGAACTGGCTAATGGTCTCATCTTGCTGGACCGTTCGAGCTGGTGAATGGGTCTGGTCTGTATATAGTCATGGTCCCACGATTGCTCAAATCCATCTGTTCAAGCTCTGGAAGAAGCACCTGCAGTTTGGGCCCAGTGTTGATCTCACTTAAAAGGAGGGCCTCGGCCTCAGCCTTACATATATATATATACACACTTACCCACCCCGCTACAGTCTTGGGTCTTTTTCACAATAATTTTATTTTCTATTATCGGACTTCACTGCTTCTCTGTCTCTGTTCCCTCCCCCTGCCAATGTCGAACCAAAAGGGCTCCGACTGGAAATGCCGGTCACAAGACAGTGCTGTCTTGACAGCTGGGTTAAACCACACTGCTCCGTCTTGAATTGTTTGCGTTGCATCAGAACTCCGAACACCATGTTGTCTGGTGCCAAGACTCATCTACAAACGGTCAAACGTATTTTCCACAATGAAGTTTAAATACGTTACGATGAATGTTTCTATTGAGCCCTAACGATGTTACTTCTCATACTAACAACATCTAACAACTAACGTTTCTATTTTTGTTTCCAGGTGTATATATAGAGGGGATAGGTATCCCAAACGTACTACAATGAACTTAAACGTATTTCTACCAGTGTCTGTTCATGTGTGGCTTCTGGGATGCAGTACACACAAAGAATTGATGGCACAAATGGATGAGCAAAGTGTTTGTGTTCGTTCCTCCTAGAAGGTAGGCATTTCACATGTTTCAGTTCAATAAAACAATACTATATAATGTTGTATTCCATTATACAGTATACTTTAATAAAGGGTGTTGTAAATGAAAAAGGCAAACCCTTCGATTTGGAAAGCCTTTCAATTTTTGATACGAGCTTAATGATTGATTTTATGTCGAATTGTCCCAGGCAAACTTTGTCGGCGTGTGTTTATTCAATCGGTGAAAGGGCTTCTTGCGAATTTCATGGCTAGCGGCTAGCTCGCTAGAAATATACAACGATGCTTGCAAGCTGGGGTGACCTTAAGCGCCTCTATGAACCAAAGCTAGCAGACTGCTACAAATCGTTGGATCAAACAGCTCGAACGACCTGGTCCATGGTTCTGAAGCCGAGACGTCCGCGCTGCTTGTTTGAACGAAGCAGAATTAATAGTTCCGGCAGATGTTCGGGACCCAATTCACCATTTGTTCACCTCAGTAGTTCATGTTGTTTAAGACTATTCCTGAAGCGGGTTTTCGGGTTTAGGGTTGGGTCCGAACCGAACAGCGACAAGGTCCACGAAACCCATCCGACGTTTCTCCCGGCCTTCTCCGTGGGGCGAAGCAGTGGTGGGCGGACTTGGCGGTCGAAACGGATGCGGAAACTGTTCTTTTTTTTTTGTGAGGATGATTTTGCTGGACATCAAACAAAAAAACAGGGGATTGAGATGGTTTGAGATATTGAAACCTTCCCCATAGATGACTGGAAAAGACACGTGGTTTGGAAGTGATCTTTGATGTTCTTTGATGTTCTTTTGTTTATTGTTTTTCCCTGCTTACGTTTTTCTGAGGATTTTCAGATCCCGCTTGCTCGTCTCTCGGACACTTTCATCCAGGTAGGTACCTAAAACGATTGACCCTTTGCATAGATCAAGGATGATCAAGGTGTAATTCCCCAAACTGACATTGTGTAATTCTATATCTTAAATTTTGACAAGAACTGCGTCATGATTAGGCTCATGACCCATCTCAACTGTGGTCATAACATGTGAACTATTGGTCATGCCGGAGTCTTCATCCGTTCAGGTCAAATGCAAGCACTGAATCTTTAATAAAAGACCTCCACTGTTGGCAACGAATCTCCCTGGACTGACTCAAAGTTGCACTCCCCCAAAAAATAACATCTGATCAACTCTGTCCTCCAGAGCCCTCCTCAGGCAACGACCTTGAGTCGAAGTCAGCTTTGACATTGAAATAGTCGCCTGAGAAAGGACGCTCACAAAGTCCAAGTCCGAAGGTCGTCATGGTGGGCTGGGAGAGATTTGCAGTGATGTTGCGGATGGGAAAACAACCTCAGAGAATGTTACTTCAGAATATATGACAGAACCTCAATTACTTTACTTCGATTGTTCCCCCCCATGACATGTCAATATTTGTCTTCATGACATGGTGAGGAGCATGTTGCCATGGTCGTGAGTTTTGTGGTTCTCGATTTGCTTGTGGGTCCTCGAGTTGTGTGCTGTGGTTGTGGGTTGTGGTTGAGTGTTGTGGTTGTGTGTTGTGGTTGTGTGTGTTGTGGTTGTGTGCTGTGGCTGTGCGCTGTGGATGTGTCTTTCTGGTTGTGTGTTGTGGCTGTGTTTATGATTGAGTGTTTGTGATTGCGTCTGTGGTTGTGTTTGTGATTGTGTGTTTGTCGTTGTGTTTGTGGTTGTATGTTTGTGGTTGCATGTTTGTGGTTGTCTGTTTGTGATTGCGTGTTTGTGGCTGTGCTTGTGATTGTGTGTTTGTGATTGTGTTTGTGCTTGTGGCTGTGTGTTTGTGATTGTGTGCTTGTGGTTGTGTTTGTGGTTGCGTGTTTGTGATTGTGCTTTTGTGGATGTGTTTGTGGTTATGTGGTTGTGCTTGTGGTCGTGCTTGTGTGTTTGTGGTTGTGTGTTGGTTGAGGTCCGGCAGCGCCCGGTACGCTGGGGAGCTGGCGGTTGAGGTCCCGCGGGGAACGCTGCCAACCGGAACTCGCGGTAGAGGACGAGGCGGAGGACGAGGCGGAGGAGGAGGACGGCAGATGAAATAAAATCTAACAACCCTCACCTGACAGGTGGGGAAAACCACATCATTTGGGCTCGTGGTGACCTGCGGTGACCTGTGGTGACCCACACCGTGTGATGGTCAGTCATCTGAACATTGACGTCAACAAACCGGGGTTCGCTTGAGTCAGGGTTACCTGTTAACCTTGAGCCCTGTGACTAGCTCAACCCCACCATCCAGTACTACGATGATAACACCAAAGCTAAGAGTTCGGGCCCGAAACACAAATCCCGATTACGCAAAGAGTTCTCCGCCACTAAGAAAACACCTTCAGAACTAAAAAGGACCCCAAAAGGCTGCTACCTGCTCGATAAATCTCGATAACATGTGTACCGCAGCACTCGAAAAAAACCTAAAATAAAACTGCACCCAGCATGTTCCGATGATGTTGGGGCGCCTTTTCCCACCAAAAAACGGTTCAGCGCCTGGAAACTGCTCCTTAAACTCTGTCTCCCGCGATTTTCTCCTCGATGGAGACATCGCCTCCACCAGTGAATTGGACCGGGATGGCTGGATCGGGGATGGCGGTTTCGCACGTCGACGGATTCGCGGATCGATGCCACTTTAGGCGGTCCATGCGTAACTATGGCCGCATTTCAACCTTTGTCGAGCCGGTAGCAAAGGCTAACTGTGGAGAGATTTGGATGAAATGAATCTCTGACCACCACATCCTGGCTTTAGAATGCTTTAGACTCTATATATAGATCTGACTTTTAAATTTTAGATCAAACTGGTCGTGCTGTGCTCCAGATTGGGTCGTCATTCACTTTCAATCCTGGCATGGATCTCTCAATCGATCGCTCCACTGATACCTAGTCACTGCCTTCGCAAGTGACCAGCACAGTGGTGCGGTGGCTAAAAGCAAATCTCGGCAGCTTCTGTTGCGGAAGAATGGCACGACCTGGTGACCTGATCGGTATTCTCATCGAGAATTCTCGCCGATCAGACGTGCCACAAACTTACAGAACCCAATCTAATTCGGAAGACTAGACAAAACGTCTGTCCGATTGCAGTGAAGTGGCGGTGCTGGGTGGTCCGCCATCGGTTCTGCAGGCAAGTTTGCCCCATGACCATCGACGATGGTCAATCTGTCAGTCTGATATCTTGTTCATGCCAATACACGGTTAGATCACGTGGGTCTTCTGGGTCTTCGGAGTCTTCCATGACTTCACATGTCACCAAACACATATAGGGTTTGGTTCGGGCCCGGAACCCTGCGAAGGTGTCGAGTCTGACCCCTGCCACGGAGGGCCCAAGGATTCTGAGGGCTTAAAAAGATCGACTGCCCCGTCCTTGAACCACCTGCTTGGCTTAAGCAAGAACCAGCATGCATCACTGTCAAAACAGTCAGTCAATTTGGGAGATATTGAACCAAAGGATCGGGCGACACCGTATTTGCCTGGGCAAAGCTTTTGGAAGAATAACCTGCATGCTGAATCGAGGAGGATCAGGGTGCAAATGCCAGGCGATGCCTTGCACCGGCAGCCCGGTAGCAAAAGCATAGCTCACAATTCCTCCTTCACCAAGGCTCTCTCTTCGAATGGTCCAAAGATTGTCTCCTGTACGCGGCTGGTGTGGCTAGTGGCTTGGCTCGTCGTTCTTTGGAGAGACCTCTTGGTGGCTTGCGCCGCTGCATGGCTCGACAGAAGTCCAAGCTGGACTGCGAAAATTGAGCGCCTTCATCCCGACATCATGTTAACTTCAATATATAAATTGACCAAATAATTCTGGACCCTGAGTTTCAGCTGCTTCCAAGCCTTGATTCTGGATGTTCAGCTCCTCCAACCCTGATTGTAGATTGTCAGCGTTATTTTTTGATTTCTTATTTGTGCATTGCCATTTGTAACCTGAAGTCAACTCACAAAGACTACCCCTCGCAAGCAGCCCAAACCTCCAAACACTCCAGACCTCAAATAATACTACTACAGTAAACAAACCCTGGCTGGTTCTTTTGGTGGTTTCCGTTGCAATTTCTCTAGAATTCATGTTCTTTACTTTTCTTTTCCTTTAATGTCCTTTTCTTTCCTTCTATTTTCCTTGCATGTCCTTTTCTTTAATTGTCCTTTCATCTCATTTCCTTTCATTATCCCTTCATTCCTGTTCTTTTCCTTTCATGTTCAATTCATGTCCTGTTCGTTCCTTTCATTTTCCCTTTTTCACATCAAACATTTTTCTGGATATTGACTATATATATATTTAGGGTCAGAACTTGATCACCGGGGGAGGGGGAGGTCATCATGGACATTATCCCGACGAACCAGCCCGACTCTCCAGAACCCTTCAAGAAAAGGACTCCCAAAAACTCTTGAGTCTTGAGAACACAAAAACAGGACACAAGTCTGTTCATCCCAATTCATCCCAATTCTCCACATCCGACGGATCCCCATTTCTCTAAGACTCCCAAAAAACGAGTCGAGCGACTCGAATCGACCCGAATTCGACCGAAGAGGACCGATGGTCCTGCACTTCGCTGTCCAGGTCACTCTGCCTTGGTGAAACATGAAGCTGCAAGGAGGATGCTAAGCAATGCTGAAGACTCCAATGGTTCAAGGCAACCACTCGACTCATCCATCATGGGTTCCCTTCCAGATTCCCTTCAGGACCATCTATGTGAGCAACTTTCGGGTCATGAATGGATATTAATGGGTAACTCTTCCATACTGAAAACTGACATCTGAAACACCGAGATGCGGCGCTGCTCTTTCTTCAGCCACCTCCACTTTGATCCCTGTCGTTGCGGGCGACACCTCTAAGGACTCCGTGACTTTCTCATCTCCGTCGTGTAAGGACTTCGTCCCGCTCTCCGGCGCCTCGCTTCAGAATGCGAGTGATTTGGTGTGTGGGTCCTTTGTGTTTTCTGAAGCGAGGGGAACTCACCGCGTACGCTGTGTTTTTCGTGCTTTGGCCAACAAAGTCCCCCAGACGCAAATCCATGCAAATCCCGCAGATCGGATTTGTTTATTTGGTTTATCCCAGTCCCACGACCTGTCTGGGACTGCCATAGGACTGCCAATCAGCTGGGGTGGTTAATTTCTGGGATCGTAGGTAAATCATATTCCATGTCCCATTATAGTCGTGAGCGTGAACAGGTCCCAGGTCAACTTCTCGGCCGACGTCGCATTCATTAATGAATGGTCCCTAGGGCTCCAACCAATATATCCTCAGGTGGTTAGACCCCCCAAAACCACCCCAACAACCTTTGGGGATGTGGCTACCTGACTGGTTTGATCCAACCAGGATTCTAACAAAGGCCGCAGAAAGGAACGCTTTCAAGATCAGCACTCCGAAAAAACACGTTTTCGGGTCGTGCCACAGCGAAATGTCACGCCGACCTCTCTGCATCTTTCAGCGATCAAATACTCTCAAATCCTCGAATCCCAGGGGTCCCGTCCCAAAAACCGAGGCAGGTGGGGGGACCTCAGCCAACGATGATCTGCGCATTATTGAGCTCATGATCCTCTGCAAACCCAGCTGGGATTCGCTGTGGAAGAGGTCCACATCCTTGGACGCTGTCTGCGGGCAGGAGAGCGCAGGAGAGCTGTCTGCAGTGACAATGTGATTTGCTCATATCAAGAATGATCTGAAGGGAGTGAAGGAAAGTCAAGGTAGATATACAGTAAGCAAATATATACAAGCAAATATATACTATAACTATAACAATGACTTTGCGATCGGAATTGGAACTATTGGACAAAACAGGTGGCATTGAAGAGGCTGTTCACATGATCTCACCGAACTGAACCCTCCTGAACTGAGTTTTGGTGTTAAAGCTCCAGCCCCTTGCGGAAGGGGCAGTCTGCACCCAAATCCCAGAAGCTCGCGATTCTTCCAGCTGGATGGTGATTCTTGAGACTTTTAAAGCCCGTTCTTGCTGAACTAAGTAGGCAGCTGCTTGAAAAAAGTCAGGGCCACATGCTGCTGGTAAGCTTGCTATAGCTAGGACGCATGATAGGCGGGGGGAGCTTCCTTGAAGAAGCGCTCGTACTATTCTTTTGGTTCCTAGATTTGGGAGCTGCCCAATATATACCTCCACCCCAAACGAAACGTATACCGTTTCGGAAACGAGGCTTCAATGAGGTCGATGCAGTACATGATCCGCTGCAAATCGCCGCCCACCATCTCTCCCACGCGCTGCTGCAACTGCCCACCCTCGGTCATCAGCACCCTGTCGGAGACACGTTTCAGCTCCTGGACCACCTGAGACGCTTCAGAAACGGAGCAGAAACGCATTTTTTTGCTTAGATCGTGTGGTACGCATGAATAACCAAGAGACGACTAGAATGTATGGCGCCAGCATTTGTAGCCACCCTGGACATGAAAGCATGCCAGCACCTTCATGTCGGGGTCACCTGGCTGGTTTCGCCCCAGCCCACTACTAAGGGATCTCCAGCCAGGACACCCCTTGAAGGTCCATTCCTCCATGCTCCGGAATCCGGTGCTGACACCGACACCGAACCCGACACTGGGTGACCCAGTGGGTGGAAGTTGGGGGCCTCGGGCATCCGTCCGCCAATCACATGGGCGATCCTCCAGTCATGCGATCGTTGACCTGGTCTATACCAAGAGGAACTATAGGTTAACAATTATACCAGGACCCTCCAAGGAGTGCCCAATGGAAGCCTAGAGGTAGTGTGGGGTAGTCCATTGGGCACCCCGACAGGATGGTCCTGGTAGGCACTTTAATTTTCTTAGGAGACATCCGCGGTGCGATGGACGAACTGAGGGTCTCCCCATTCATACGCAGTCTTCTGTGAGGGTTCGGAAAAGGGAGACCTCCTCTACCCAAGATTCCTTCCGTGGCTGGGTCGCTTGTTTCATCGAATGATAGAACCAACAGCTTTGTAAGCCCAGATGAATGAGGAGGCCAGCCGCGCTCTGCACACCGACGCGCCAATGGGCGCACGAGGCATGTGGCCGACTACGACGATCGATTCTTCAGCAACCCCGGTGGATCCCAGTACTTCGTCTCGAGGTCAGGAACCAGCCCGCGACCCGGACGAAAGATGGTTTCAGTCGATCGTCGGAACCGGTGACGACATCGTGGGAACTGGGATCGGACTGGGGGACGACTTCCTCGATGAGGGCGACCACCCCACGACCACCCCATCGGCTCAAGACCGAGTCTGATTCAACCGAGCCCCGAGTCTGAGCACCTCGTGACCCCAAAAGAAGGAACAACCATGGTGTCTGGCGGTCCAAAGCCACCAGAAGTCATCCTGGTCGGTTGACAAACCTCACAGGTCTATTCTCTTCCGTCTATTCATTGTTGAAGGGGCCGCGGGTGCCATGATCGGCCTTCTAGGGCGGCTTTCCCGGCCGGATGTTGCGCTGAAGCAGACTGGTTTCGGACTGGGGCTAAAGAGGCCAAAGATGCTGCCTGCCACAAGGAGACTCAGGCATGGCTGCCATCATTGAAGCTCATGAACCTGCTAGAAGTGCTTCTCTTCTGAAACAACTGAACAACCTTGATGTTCCACCTCATC